AACCTAGATATTGTTGGTGTATTCCAGGGCCTCACACAGGACCTCCCACTGGGTAGGAGCTCCCTCTGGGCAGGACTGTTGGATGGATGGATGGATGGATGGATGGGAGTCACCAAGATGAAGAACAATGCCTGGAGACTTTTCAGAGTCTCCTCTACTCTTTTAATAGTATAACAGTCCCTGAGGTCCTCCTAGCTCTAGGCCCTATTCTGAGTACTAAAACCCAGTTGATAGATGGGGAAACTGAGGCTATTACACAACTGAGGCACAAGAGCTTGCAGCAACTCAGAGGAGGCTGTGTCCGGAATAGGAGAATCCCAGTGGGGTAGCCCTCACACTGCCCACAATAATGCTGGGAACCAGTTACTACTTCTGGCTGCCTGGGACCCACCGGGAGAGAAACCATTGTTTAGCTTAGAGCTTGGCCTCTTTCCTACCACCCAACCTTTCCATTGTCCTTAGGCCTCTCATCAAAGTACAGGATGCAGCTGCCAGCACAGCAGCAAAAAGAATGGGTAAGGGGCTGAGGGAAGCAGATGAGGCCATCCCAGGAGCAGGAAAATGCTTCAGCTGGTGGTTCTTTCCCATAGGAGCTGCAGTTAAGCCCCAGGCAGCAGGTTCTACCAGCATGATGTTTGGCACCAAGTACAGAACTCAAGCTTCAGAGGCAGACAGATCCCAATTCAAGTCCCAATATCTGCCACTGATGTCCTGTGTGTTCTTGGGCAAGCCTTCTGTAATCTCTAAGCGTCGACTTTCTTCTCAGTTAGGCAGGGATAAAATGCTTGCCTAGTGAGGATTAGCTTATTAGCAATTAGGGTTAACACCAAAATGCCTGATACCTAAGTATTTTTTAATGTTCATTTCTATTCCTTCCCCCCTCTTTAACCATAGCAAAAAAGCCAAGAAAGATGAAGGCAAAGAGAGTTCTTGGTGTAAATGGAAGCAGGTAAATGATGATCTATTATCATAACTAGGTCATCAGCAAAATCACATTTAAGAAACCTGTAATAAATCACATTTAATAATCAATAATCACATGAATGGAACAACTGACATTTCTTGAGCACTTATTATGAGTCCAGCATATTACTTCTTCGGAGCTACTCTGTGAGCTAGGTATTATCAGGGCCAGCTTCCCAGGTGTACGACTAGTGCAGGTGCACAGGGCCCTCCACTCAAAAGAGTACCCCACAATTGGGGTTCGATACTCTGTGATCACCATCTTGAATTATTAATAACTTTATTTTTGAATTTGTGTTTTGCAAATGAAGTCTAATGGAACAATAGAACATGCACCGGGACCTGGAGCTTCAGATCAAATGCAGTCCTACCTCTCGTCACCTCCCCACCACTCCCTTCCCCAGAATGGGTTCTCGGCTGCCCATTCCCCTGTTTTTCCTCTGTCTCAGGCAGGGGCTGGATGCAGGCAGAGAGAGGGTCAGGTTGGGAATGCATGCCAAGCCACGAGGGTCTCATGCCCCTGTGAGTATCGCCATGCCCAAGGGTGCACAACATTCGATAGTGAGTAATAAACAGCATGACAGGTTGAGCAAGAAATAACAAAAGGAAAAAATATTTTTCCTGCTTTTTTAACAAGCCTTGCATTTTAGTTTGCACTGCGCTGCACAAATTACGTAGCCAGTCCTTCTTACTCTTATTACTACCATTTTACAAAAGTAGAAACTGAGGCTCAGAGAGGCTCAGTAATTTGTTCAAATCACACAGCTGCCAGTGGCAGAATTTAGACATGGGTTTAGATCCCAGGAGAAAGGGGACTCTGAGATGATAAAGAGCTTTAGCCCAGGAATTAGGAGCCCTGGATCCAATTTCTAACTATGACCCTGGGCAGGTTTGCTACCACTCTGTGCCTCAGTTTTCCCAAGTGAAAGTGCTCTGTGGAGTCTTCCAAGGTAGCACAGTGTCTCAAGATTTGGCTTTGCCATTTACACAGGATGGGATTTTGAGTGCAGGGAAGTCATCTTTGCCCACCTTCCCCACAGAGCTGCTAGGAGGATTTACCAGGTGTCACCCACCCTGCATGATACTTCACAGCAAATAAAGCTCTGTCATGCTGCCTCTTCCCCACAAAAGCACTGAGGAGAAAGCCAGGCAAGGAATATTTTTATTATCATTTTACAGACAGGAAAGTTGAAGCACTGAAACTGCAAATTGACTTACCCAAGCTCACACTGCATTTCAGGCAAGTTTTGAAAAAAGTAACAGGGCTCCACAGACACAGGGTGATAATGTGAACATCCCAAAATTAAAAGATGGGTCACAACTTTTGGGAGTCCCGGTGTAGGAGGGCACTTGGGCTTTTTAGTGCAGTAGCCCCTATTTTGAGAGGGTTGGCTTAATCTCTGACATTCACGGTCCCAGATGTGAGGGAGGAGCCCAGAGAGGTGGCGAGAGCTTCTGAGAGAAGAGAAACACCTGGCCAGCCGGTTTCAAAGGGTGACTCAGCAGCCTATGGGATGTTTACCCAACATGTGAGGGATGTCATCTATAGATCAATAGACAAATAGGCAGAAAGAAGAACTGAACAACAGATCCAGCAAAAGCATCCCCTTAGCTCTCAACTCCACTCCTCCAGCCTCCCCACCCATGACCAGCCTACTGGCCAGTCCTGGGGGAGATCTCCACCCACGGTGATGGCAGGGTCTGACTGACCAGAAATCATTGCAGTTGGGTGAAGCATGTGCCCCTGCCTCACTCCTGTGGGTTCCTTAGCCCCTGGTTCCCTTGGTGAGGATGTAGCACCTACAACACAGGAGGCCCATGGGAAGGGCTATCCTGCACCAGCTATCTCTCTTGTCTGGGCTTCTCATTACCACAGGGTGTTTGTGAAATGGTTCCTGAAGTCAGGACCCTTTCCTGTTCATCCTCAGATCTTCAAAGAAGTGCCAATAAAGACTTGCCCAATAAAACTTTCTATATTGATGGAAGTGCTCTATTCTGTGCTACCCAATAGCCATTAGCCACACATGGCTATGGAGCACACTGGCCAGGAAGACTGGGGAACGAATGTAAACCTTTTACTTAATGTTAAGTTAAATGTAAATTTATATTATAGTACATAGCTAGTGGCTACTGCATTGGGCTGCACAGCTCTGGAAACAAAAGGAGACAATAAAAATGAAATAACTGCACCATGATTTGGGACTTCAAAAGCACATCTTCTCATGTCTATCCTGTGAAATAGATGTTAATCCTCATTTTGTAGAGGAGAAACCTGAAGCTCAGAGAACTTAAATAGCTTCCATGCTGAGAGAGATAGTAAGTGTTAGAAGCATGATTTAATCATAGATCTCTTAATTCCAAAACTCCACTCATACCTCTGTACAACTCTGCCCACTTATGTAAGCATCACCTATTTATCAGATGATTATTTTTAGGTGCCTGCTTCTGGGCTAGACAAAGAAAAATGAAAAAGAAGCAGTCCCAGGCTTTGGGTAGGTATCCCTAAACAAAGACAGTTAATTGCCACAATAAGAATGTGAGTATAAAAATTACTTTAAGCGACTTTCTTCCAAGTAGCTCAAAGCACTTTGTTTTAAATCTATATCTAAGGACTCTCAGATTTATATTTCAGGCCCCAACCCCTGCCCAAAACTCCAAATAGACATACCAAAAAGCCCACTCGAATACTGAATTGGCTTCTCAAGCTCGCCTCAAACCTGCTCTTCACCATCTCAGTAAGTGACAGTTCCCTTCTTCCAGTTGTTCCACTCCAAAACTCTGGAGTAATCCATTACTCCTCTTTCTTTCACACCTTTCATGTAATCCATCACCAAATATTATTAGCTCTACCATCAAGAAGCATCCAGAATGCTCACCGTCTCCATTACTGCCATCCTGGGAGTCTATCGTATCATCATCTCTATGTAGACTGTAACAAACTAGTTTCCTTTGTCCCTCCCTTTCTCCTAGTTCTCTTTTCCATACAGTAGCCAGAGTGATCTTTTTAAAGTCTAAGCCAAAGCATGTCTCCTCTTGTCTTCAAGCACCAATGGTTTCCCTAAGTGCTCACCACAGTCCATAAGGCCCTTCACAATCTGGCCCCTGATGCTTGTCTGACCTCATTTTCCACCTCTTTCCTCTTTGCTCTACAGGTTCAGCCATACCAGGTCTTCCAGGTCACTTCTTCCTCATGGCCATGGCACAACTCACTCCCTCGCTTCCTCCCAGTCTCTAACCAAAAGTTCCCTTATCACAGAGGCACTTGCCATCCCCTTATGTTTCAATTTTCTTCATAATACTTATCACCTCCTGACACTTAATATGCTTGCCTGCTGTCGCTCTTCTCCCACTAGAATATAAGCTGTAGGAATAGGGTAGGTAGATAACATAAAAGATACCCTGTTAAATTTTAATTTCAGATTTAACAAAAAACTAATTTTTCGGTATGAGGTTGCCCTAGATGCTGCATGGAATATGCTTACACTAAAAAACTATTCATTGTTTATCTGAAATTCCGACTTTACTGGGTGTCCTGTATTTTTATTTGCTAAATCCGGTATCCCTACCCAGGAAGGCAGGGACAGTTCTTGTTTTGCTCGTTGCTATGTCTCCAGCGCTCGAACTGCTCCTGACACTTAGTATGCTCTCAGTAAATATTTACGGAATGAATGACTGTTTAACCAGGTCATGAATCTGTAATACGCCTAAACTTTTAATAAACGGCCTGCGAGTCAGAGGGGCGGAGCCTCTAGGCTGGGAAAGTCTAGTTCACAACCAGGGACCCAGACAGCTGTTGAACTTTCCAAGCAAGTGGAGTAGTTGGGCGCTCTGCATGCCCCGTGGAAAACAAAACTCCTCCCCAGCTCAGGTGGGCGACACGCCCCCCTGGGGGCGGGGCCTCCCACCAGTGGGCGGGACCCAGCCCTCGCCTGAGCCAGGGCCCTTTAACGCCCCGCCTCCCCGCCTCCACTCGCGCCCCCGGTGTGAGGTCACCCGGCTGGCGGCCAATGGAAACGTAGCTTACTGGCAGGCGGTGCGGGCGGCTGATGTCAAAGAGGAAGTGAGCTGGGGCTGTAGCGATGGCCCGGGGCTGGAGCCCGCGGCCGCCTCCGCCGCCACCAGTGCGTCCGGAGCAGCCACGGCCGCAGCTGGAGCGGGGGCCAGAGTCGCGGCCGGAGTGGAGGCGGCGCGTGTGAGTTGCCGAGAGTCGCCGGTGCCGAAACACCTCAAACTCGGTGCGGGAGCGCTTCGGGTGGGCTGAGACGCGGTCGCCCCTCCGCACCGCGCCCCCCAGGCCCAGACAGCAGGGCTGGGATCTCCCCAGGTGCTCAACTGGCTCCTCTCAGGCCGAGCCCTCCGAGCCGAGTTCTGGATCTTCTTCAGTCTCGGGCTTCCTTCAAACTCGGGACGGAGGCCAGAGGACAGTGAGCAGCCCAGACCTGGGCATTTTCTCGGCGCCCAGGCTGTATCCGGAGCCCCATCCTGCTGCCACCTCTCCAGCTAGAGGGAGACTAGCGCGTTCCCACTGTTTCTTTCTGCGCCTCTCCCTCTCATTCAAGAGCAAGTTTCTTTTCCCTCTCTATTGGAAATCCTGCCCCGGAAGTCCAAAACACCCATCTGTGTGTCCTTCCCCAGCTCTTGGATCACCCTTAGAAATATTATCTACTTATCAGAGCTGAGAATCGCTCATACTTGACTTGGCTTTTCATCCCTTTTGGGAGACAGCGGTTTACCCCTTAACACACTCTTAGCTGAAACTCCATGCCCAGGACTTTATCCATTAGGATCACTAGCTCCCTGGCCATCTCTATGTGACTTCCCTCACCCATCTGAGTTCCAGTTTCCTCTGGACTCCAGTCTCCAGCCCACAACGGATCTGGTCAGTCCCACCTCTGGGTGGGAGTGACCAGGGGGCTCTGGCCCAGGATCCCCCACCCTGGAAGGCAACTCCAAAGTAGCAAGAGAATTGGGCGTCGGGTACGATCCTGGCAGCTCAGGAGTGGGTGCTCCACTAACTCCACACAAGAAGATGAAAAAGCGCAAAGAGCTCAATGCATTGATTGGCTTGGCTGGGGACAGCCGAAGAAAGAAGCCCAAGAAAGGTTCCGGCCACCGCCTGCTTCGCACTGAGCCTCCTGACTCAGACTCTGAGTCCAGCTCGGAGGAGGAAGAATTTGGTGTAGTTGGAAATCGCTCTCGCTTTGTCAAGTGAGTGATGCAATGGTGAGGGATGGGATGGGAAAAGGCATCTCCTTGCACTACTAAGGAGGCAAATTAAAAAGAAGGGAATTCTTAGGAAGAAAAATGAATATAGATCTTGGAGGGCAAAGAGGGAGAAAAGTTGCTAAGGAGTAGGTGAGCTCAGGTTCTGAATGAAGGATAAGTTAAAAGATCTGTTTCTAAGTGTACAAAGAAGAGCTCTGAATCAAGGATAGAAGTGTGGGCTTGGGGAATGTGCCAAGAGCCTAGAGACCAAGTTGAGAGTAGCAAAGAAGCTAAAAATAGGGACATGGGAGCAGAGAAACTTTTGGAACTAACCTTTTTTAAAAGTGTAGGAAAGACAGGGACCTTAAGACTGCAAATTATTTACTTGTTGAGTCAGGATCTTGGTGATGGGAGAATATGGTGAGGGACATACTGTAGCAAGTATGAGCCTTGAGAGTAATGGGACATGGAGGACAAAAAGAAGAGGCAGTTTTTTCTTAAGCCACTTAGATGGCGCAGCCACTAGACAAATCCAGTAGTGAGCACTAAGGACCTTGAGAATTGGGGCTCAGGGTAGGAAAGGGCTGAAGGGAACGTTGAAGGTGCCTTGTACCCTCTCAGGGAGCACATAAAAGAAAAGAGTACTGAGGATGTTGAAGCAAGAGCTAGGCAGAAGGTTGGGGTGCTAAAAGAGGTTGAATCTTTTGTTTGGGGTTTGTTTAGAGTGTCTTTCTTTCTGTTTTGTTAAAGAATTTGGATTCTAATCAGCTTTGCCAGATTAGGTAGTTAAGGGCAATCCTAGGTTTAGGTTGTGAAGATTTGATGAAGTGGAATAGCTCATCTGGAATAGTTACCCTGTTGAGTTAGTTTAGACCTTAAGTGTTGATTGAAGTTTAGTATGAAATCTAACCCCCTTTCTGTGTTTTCTTCTGTCTGAGCCAAGAAGCTAGAGTGTACCAGGTGTCCACTTAAACCTACAGTTCCTATTTCTTTCATTCCATTTACAGTAAAACTTGCTCAAAAGTTTATGAAGTTTCAATAAACTGAAACATGGTCCTCATGGGGTGAGCATGTGTTTGAGAGAGAGAAGTAGATAGGTAAATTACAGTGCAGTGAGGGAGTTGCAGAGAAGCTCTAGTCTTTACACTTTCCTAACCTGAGACCCGAATTAATAGTGATGGCAGTGCGCTGCAGTGCCCACAGGTGCTTCCTCTATTTCATGTGAAGTTTGGCTCACAGGAACTCCCTCTATTTCATATGAAGTTTGAAACTTTTGTATCCAATAGATGAATTCTTCATAGGTCATATTATTTAGTCATTTTCAGCTAGGTTAGTTCCAGTCATTTCAATGCTGTTCAGATTTAAGTGTGTTACCCTGTGTTCCCTGGTAGATCAACTGGTTGTTCATTAAAAAAGATAATTGCATGGCAACACATGTATGCTATTTCTAATAAAGCTGTGCTCATAATCACTTTTGTACTCCTGGTTGAATTTGTTCTTATGATCAGGGGAGACTATGTACGATGCTGCAAGATCTGTTATCCCCTCTGTGCTTTTGTCATCCTTGCCGCTTGTGTCGTGGCCTGCGTCGGCTTGGTGTGGATGCAAGTTGCTCTGAAGGAGGATCTGGATGCCCTCAAGGAAAAATTTAGAACAAGTAAGTGACTGCACATTTCTGAATTTAATCTTGGAATCTTTTCCAGGTTCTAGGACAAAGTGGACCATGCCAAATTAAGAGTTTTGCCCACTTCTGAAGCAATTATACATTTTCCAGCATTTTTATACTCTTTCTTAGCTGTCGGCTTGACTACAGTAACAGTTATTTCTTTTAAACACATAAACAAAAAATAGTTCTTATTCACATGTCTTAGGACAAGTAGCATATGAAAAATGGCATTGAAGTCAACATTTAGGGTACAGAAGGTAAGTACTAAGGTCCAAGAGTCTGGAACCTTGGTTACCCTTCACCTGTTGCCACTTGATACTTCCACAAATATAAAATGGCAGTAGCAACACTAGGCTATTTCTTCCTCATGGGGCCATTTGAGAAAGAATGTGAGAGTCTGTCAATTTCCTCCTTAAAAACACAATAGGAACATAAGAATGAGCAATAATAATAATAGCCAACATTTATGGAGTGCTTACCGTGTGCCAAGTCACAAATATTTGTTTCTTGAGTGAGTTTTAAACTTTGAGACTTTTTTTAAGTTAAAGAGTTTTCCATGTTCTGAATTATAAAGTATTTTGCACATCCAAAGTACTTTTTCTTAAAGATGTCTTTGCATGATGCCTTCTACCAGATTTAACCTAAATATCTTACTTTAGTAACACTGAGATATTTGGTTCTAGGTTTCAAGGGTTAGTTTTCTAAGCTGAGGAACCAGTTTCAAGTTAGTCACAAATACTCTAACCGTAGCAGCATGAGCACACCTGGAAACTGACCACCAAGCTTTCTCAAGGTCACAAAGAAAAGTGGCACCAGAACTGGAATTAGAGTTGTTTTCTTACTTCCTATCTTAAGCCTTAGGAGATCATAACATCCTTGCCTCCTTCACTCCAGCTTCTCTTTGCTGCCTACAGTTATTCAGGTTTTGAATCTGACATAGGGACGCTAATCCTTAGTGTGATGACATTCTTAGTGATATTGCTTGAAAACAAAAATGTCGAAATACTAACTTTGGTTTTCTTCTGAGCTTCTGATTCAAAGAATGGAGTTGGGTAAGTCATAATTCTCTGCCAGAATCATCCTCACCTATATGTTTTATCAACTGGTGGAATCAGGGTACAATGTAAGAAAGAATGAGATATATATTTTAGTTATTGTTCCTCCTTAATGGTTGTCCTTAGCAATATTGCAGGTTTTTTTCTAAGGCCAGTGTTTTCTTTACAAATAGTAATCATAACTTAGAAATGAGGTTCTCAGAAAGATGTTTAACTGTAAAAACTGAAGACACCTGTCTGTGCCATTATCTCTCTGTAATTAGGTGGGCTTCCTAGGTTTGTGCTACATCTTGTTTTGATCACAGAAATTATTTATGTTTATATTTGAAAACATTGCTCGATTCTACCTTTCAGGGATTCCTTTCTCTGACTCCTCTGTGCCTATGTTTACAGGACACCCATGCAATTTATACTTTAGATTTTCAGAGAATTTATTTAGAAATGCATATTTAAAGTGCATACATGTAATAGACCTGGCAGTCAGTCAGCAACAAATATTTATTGAGCACATGTTAATACCAGTCCCTGGAAATACTATATCAGGAGTGTCCAGGAATTGTACCCTGGACTGTGAGACCTGCTTTCTATCAGTGAGCAACATTCCCCCGGGACCCTGACTACATTTGTCAGCCAGCTGAATGAAGCAGATTTAGAATTGTCAATCCAGCTGCTTTGTTGGCTTTGGTTTGCTACAATAGAAATATCTGAAGCAGGACTTCCTGAGGGAGGATAGAGGGTAGGGCCTGAGGCATATTTCAGTCCATAGGCTGAACCATTGTGGACCACTTGCCCAAGAGTTTTTTGTGAAAACCATTATCTTGATTTCCTGATGTCAATCTTGTTAAACTTACATAATCTTTCTTTAAATTATGCTTCTGCTTTAAATATTTCAACAATTTTTACTTCTTGTTTTTCAAGAGGACAGTGGCAGTCACAGACTCAAATATGACCATCTGCCAATCTGGCTTTACTACTTTTTTGAGAAATTCAAAGCCCATTGTTCTTTATCTCAATAAATTTTCTAAGACACTTGTGAGGAAAGGAGATAGGGCTGCTGAAATATCTGAAATAGAAAGCAGAGCAGAAAGGCTTGGTAGTTTTCCTCGTGATCAAGAAGTAACTTGATCCTTAAGCTAAAAGTACTGGCTGGCCTTGAAACTGTTAGCTCAGTATTCTTTTTCTAGAAGCAGGTACTCCAAAAGACCTCTACAGTTACTCTGAGGAAGATTCAATTCTCAGCCCTCCCTCTATCACTCAACTATGAAATGCTAGAGTGATAGAAAAGAATTAAGAAGAGAAGGAAAGTATTAATTAAGCATCTCCTTTTTGATGATACAGGCAGAGTAGCTGTTTGGTCATTTAGTACAGAACTTAAAAATGGTCTTGTGCTAATGAGGGTATTAGCTGGAGTATACCAGAAAGAGTCCTGGTTCTAGGAGCAAAAGGATTGAGTCTTGAATCCTGGCTTGCTCATTACCAGCTGTAAAACTTGGACGAGTCACTTACTCTTTCTGAGCTTTTGCTTTCCTATCTGTAAAACATAAAGATGTTTTTTTGCTACCAAAGCACTTTGGTCATTCCTCTGTCATAGCTTTATCACACTGTATAGTAACTGTGACAACACCTCGCTCCACTAGACTGAGAGCTTCAAGATCTTTTTATGTACTAGTGCTGGGTTAAGGCCGGGCACATGGTAGGGACTCAATAGCAAGTTGAATATTTACATAAAACTTTACTGCAAAATATAAAGACATAAAATATTGCCACTGGCAATATATATGTTCCATCCGAAGTTAGTGTGCAATAAGTTCTGAGTATTAGTATACTAAATTTTAAATGAGTTGCTTTCAATGTTGAACATGAATTAGTACTCCTAAATTGTTTGTTTGCTACACTTCTCATTTCTGTAGTCAGAGTGCCTTAATTTGGCTTGTCTCCTAAAAAGCCTCAACTCATATATGATCCCTTTTTAGTTCATGCAATCCTCAGGATCCAAAGTGTTTTCAAGGCTTGTCAGCTTTACGTGTTTGTTAGTAATTGTAACTCAGGTTATTTAGGTGCTTGTCTTACTTCCTTTTCTCCTACCTTCTACTTAATTTGTGTAGACTGCAGGAAAGAAAGAGACTCTCCCCCTCACCCTCACTTGGGATCTTTGACCACCTGAGAATGGCAGACATGTGTGGGATGAGTTACTTTGCAACCTAACTGAAAATGTGAAAGAAATTCACTGAAATGCTAAGTGTTGCATTAATTGCATTAATTTAGACTGGTAAAATGTTCTTACTGCGTGAGATAGATATAATCCTGCAAACCATGTATAAATCAAATGTTACATTTAAAGCCTGTTTATAAAGAAATCTTTTGGCTCATTTTTTGAAAAATGGGTAAATGTATCTAATTTCTTTGAATAATTCTGAATTTTCAAGTAGTGGGCTTGTTTGTAGTAGGGATACCATCCTCCACCCTCAACCCCATTTTTGTGGAGATTTTTGTTGTTGGGTTTTGTTTGTTGAGTTTTCTTTTTTTTAACTTAATAGGATAACATTATCTTCATTTCATATCCTACCATTATTTCACTGGACAAGCATTTGAGTTCTGTGTACCTGGCACTGTGGTAGGTCCTAGGAACACATAACAAATAAGATTTGGTCTCTGTCCTCAAGCAGCTCTCTTGTCAGTCTGGTGGAAGAGACAGACAAGTATATAGTTACAGTGTGTTAAGTGCTTGGTAGTTAGGAGTGATAAAGATGTGGTGGTCCAAGGAGGGGGTGGGCTATTTGTGCTAAATCTTGAAGGAATTAATTAGGCCAAGGTGACAGAAATGAAGAAGGGGCAAGCCAAGGGCATCTGGACAGAAAGAATAAAGGGTGTAGGGTCACCAAGGTTTAAAGAGGTTGGTGTGTCAGGAACATCTTCTCAGCTATAAAGTAGATTGAAGAGGTAGGTAAAGTGATAAGCAACATGGTTGGTAGGTAAGCAAAGGCCAGATTTATTCAGTCAATAATACTTACTGAGTGCCTAAAATGTGCCAGGTATATTCTAAGTGCTGACCATACAGAAATGAACAAAAAGTCTTGGTGCTTACATTTTAGTAAATTGTTTTATATCTGCTCTATGTGCCAGTTTTTGGTTTTAAAGAAAACAGATAATAACTAATCAGGCAGTATGTGGCTTTAAAAGAAGTGATGTAGGTTTTATTCTACAGAGTCAGCCTTTATCAATATTTTATTTTCCATGAAAAGGAAAGATACTCTTTGAAGAAGAGAAAGCACTCTTTCAGGCCTCTCTTTAGGCTGACAAATCTCTAAACCATTCAGGAAATACTATTTCCCAAAGGAAAGGCCAAATATCACCCCGTACATCACCTAACATGTTCTTCCTTTATCTTCTCTTTCACTTTGAGCTTTTGGGTTGATTTAAGACTTAAGAAAATTCTCTGTTGTTTATGAAAAAAGATTTAAAATCTTAGTCCTCATAACAGTACTTGAAAGGTGGTAAGAACCCACCTTGCATTTGATTAATTCGATATAGAAAAAAAGTAGACTTAAGCACTTACAGATATAACTTAGGATTTCACCGTGAGCATTAATGTAATAAGGTTTATAAATCTTCATTGACTAATCAAAAAAGCTCCTTTATTGAGCTGATCAATACTTAACATTTATCATTTACTGTATGCCTGGCCAGCTATGTTTAGTACTTTACAGCCATTGTTTCACTTGATTCTAAAAATCCTGTAAAGTATATTTTACCTCTGTGTTACAGATGAGGAAACTGAGCTCAAAGAATTTGAGTAATTTGCTCAAGATCACAGTAAGTTACAGAGTGGAGATTCAAGTCCAACTCTTTCTGCTGATATTCATCGTTATCATTTTTTGCCATCTGACTTTTTTAAAAGTTGTTTTGCCAGTAATGAAATAGCCCCAGTTAAAAGAGAGCTTTAGTGTTAAAGATACACATTTACATAAATAAAAGAACAGTGCCGTTGATAGATATGAATTCAGCCATTATTCACGCAGTGTTAACTTTTATTAATCTACTTTCTTTCCTACTGTATGATCCTTGTTTTCACCTTAGAACTTTATGAATATTTATGATTGTTCTTATTTTTTGCTTTTAGTGGAATCTAATCAGAAAAGCTCATTCCAAGAAATTCCCAAACTTAATGAAGAACTACTCAGCAAACAAAAACAACTTGAGAAGATTGAATCTGGAGAGTTGGGCTTGAGCAAAGTATGGATAAACATCACAGAAATGAATAAGCAGGTAGCAAAAGTGATTTTATTTCTGTGTAAGTTGCGAATAGTTTTTTTTTGGTATGAATTTGTAGATGTAAGACATTCTGCATTGTTTTACTTTTTGAAATGGTATTTTGCCTACTGTGATCCTAACATGTTAAAGTTGAGTAAAATAGGTAATAGTTATGCATTTACCAAATATTTAAAATGTTAACCCTTTCTGCAAAGGAGTAGTTTAACCAACTAGAGCAGTTTAGAGGGAGTTGGAAATTCTTGAGTCAACTTTTTTTAAAGAGCAGCGTAGGTATTAAATAAAAAAAAAGAGTGCCATAAGAGAAATGGATAGCCTATTTGTATTAGATTATGAGAGCTTATTTTGTTTAAGAGAGTTTACAAACTTACAGACGCAACCATGGATTGTAGTGCTATGCACCATACTAACAAAACTGGAAACCATCCACAGCAAATGATAGTTATCTAGCATAGCATAGGAAGCAGTGATAGAGTTAGTTAAATACCTTGTCCAGGCAAGCAAGCCTAGAGCAAAAACTTTTCCAGTCCCTAAACTGGCCAGATCTCAGTAGTCATTGATTCCAAAAGAGGAGGAAAAGGACTTATTCAAAGGTTGTTGATCAAGCATCTTGTATGTATACAGTTGCACTGGGTAACTATAGTAGCTATCCTCAGGTTTTGCAGTTTAGTTAGGGAAGATGTGCATTGAAAAGAAAACAAGTACTCAATGAATGGTACACCTGCAAAGTGCTTAAAAATAGATACGCCATCCTTGTTGAGGCTAAGAGGACAGTCTGTTCTTCAGACTGCGGTCACAAAGTTCAGAATCAGCCAGTGGCAGGGAGCACTATGCTAAGATAAAGTACTTATGCATATTTCTAAAGCTACCCCTACCTTTCAGCAGTAGTTCGAGAGTGGTATTAATCTACTTTCTTTCTACTTTCTTTCTACTTTCTTTGGTATGGTTTAGCACGTAAGACCAGAATTCAGTGGCCTGGGTCTGCGACTTTAAAATTTTTGCCTGGAACCCACAATAAATGTTACATCATTATCCAGTAAACACATACATATATACATATATGTAACTAAATTAAAAGTTTCTGAAAACATTAGCTTACTCATAATATTACGCTTTATGATATTTGATTTTCTATTCAGTTCTATTTCATTTTTTTAAATTCATGAAATTGATGGTTACAACACCTAATATTTACTCATTACCATTTATCCTTGAACTCTTAGTAATGAGGGAGAAGCAAGTATTCACTCTTCTTTTTTGCAACAAGAATAAGATAAACTATGGCCTTGCTTGTATTCACAAGGCAAATGATCAAGTTTGGCCAGAGATTACATCAAGTGAAAATGGAACACAGTGAAGCATTGAGAAATAATTATCTCACTGGGGCAAACCATGGATTCCATTTACTCAGTCAGTCATGGAGTTTATAATTCTGAGGGAGGATGAGATCTTTCAGGATGAAGAGCAGGCAATGTCAGCTATTTCCCATCTCCTTATAAGTCAACATATGAGAAGAGTCAAAGGGGAAGTCTGTACTTGGTATGAGAGGACACACAAGTTTTTAAATCTTTGCTACATATTTTGGTTTCTGAGTTCTCTTTAACCAGGAATCTAGAAAAAAGAATAATTTTATTAACCTGGCTGTTATTTTTAATACAAAGAGTACCTGGGAAGGCAGGTATATAGGAAAGTTTACTTCAGTCCTAGGGCTTCATATATAAAACTGGGAAAGACTGAACTGAAACCCTTTCCATTTGAGCTTCAGTAGATCTTCAGAGATGATGGGACAGACTGATGAAACCATCTTGATGCAGAGAAATTCTCTGCTGGCATGGGCACAGAAGGACAGGCAGGTGGTGGTGAAGTAGAGCTTTATGTCGGTCCAAAGGGAACTCATCATTCTCTGAGTGATTTTCTAAAGTTAGTGTTATATATCTTTGATGATCTGTTCAAGTAAAAGGCATTTGTCCTAAATCAAAATAGGTATAAAAATAAAATTAATATTTCACCATGTTTCTGTATCTAAGGGTAAGTATATCAATTAAGATGCTTTAAGTGGCAATTAAAAAAGTCAAAGTAGCTTAAACAACAAGAACATGTATTATATCACTTGACAAGAGCTATCTTTCTCACAATATGAGTTTAAGTTAATGCAGCCTGGAAAAAAAGCCTTTAGTTTGAAATAAGTTAAAATCAAATTTTTCATAGAAAATCTTTAAACTAGTAGTTAAAATCTCATTTACTTTTCTGTTTTATTTATGAAACCTCTGGTTTCATACCCAGGACTATTCTCAACCATTATAGGGAGTTTCCTCCCCTCTCTCTGAAGACCATTAATTCAACAAATGTTTAACGAGCAGCTTTTGTGGAGTTAGGTCTTATATTCAAAACCAGAAATGATGTGATTCCCACCCTCAAGGCTCTTACAGTTAATGGAGAAGATAGAAAAGTAAATAATCGTAAAACAGCCTGATAAGCAGTAAAAAGCCAGTCCCTATGAGCACTGTGGGGGCATTTTTAAGTATATTTCTAACCCAGACTGTCTGGAGTCAGGCAAGGCTTCTCAGATATCTTCAGCTGAGTCCTGAATGGCAAATAGGAGTCGGCCAAATGAATTCTGCAAAAAAGAGAGAGGGTATTCTAGGTAAAACATTAATACACTTGATTCTCATTTGCAGATTCCATGCTTGCAAATTCACCCGATCACTAAAATGTGTTTGTGATCCCAAAATCTATGCTTGTGGTGCTTTTGCAGTCAGTCATTCACTGACAGGCATACAGTGATGAAAAATTTGAGTCACCCAATGTGAATGTTTTCAGTTGACATCAAACAAGGCCACACTCTGCCTTGTTTCAGCTCATACAGTAAACAAGTTTCCTTTTCATGATATATTTAGTTCCCTGGTTTTTGCACCTTTGTGGGGTTTTTGTTTGTTTGTTTGTTTTGTGATTCTGCTGCTTAAATTGTCTACATAACAGTGCTAAAGTACTGTTTAGTATTCCTAAGTGCAAGAAGGCTGTGATGCGTCTTTCAGTGAAAATACATGTGTTAGATAAGCTTTTTTCAGGCATGAGTTTAACAATATACATTAAGTAAGATGTCTTTAAAAGAAACAGACATAAAACAAAATTATGTATTATATTGATCAGTTGACAATAAATGTTGTGACCAGAGGGCTTTCAGGAAGCTAGCTCGGTACTTCTCTTAGGAGCAGTGGTTCAGTAATCACTAGTTCAGTGTTAGCTGCAAATTTCTAGAACTACTGTGAATAATGAGAATTGACTACATGTACAAAAGCATAGATGAATGAAAGACATAGTGTGTTTAGGGAATTTTGGTAATTTATTATGGCAATAATGACTTTAGTGGAAAGAGGCCATAAGTAAGGATATGTGAGTAAGAACCATATCAAGGATCTTGAGTGCCCTTCTTTGGTAGTACGCTTTACCTCTTTTTTGGTACTCGGTCCAGGTATTTTATGTGATCATTATAGTTGTTCACCCCCTTATCTAAGGGGGATACGTACCAAGACCCCCAATGGATGCCTGAAACAGGATAGTACCAAATCCTCTATATTACTATATTTTATCCTATATATACATACCTACGATAAAGTTTAATTTATAAATAGGCACAGTAAGAGATTAATAACAATAAAATAAAACAATTATAACGGTATACCGTAACAAAAGTTATGTGAATGTGTGCACATGCGCACTCTTTCTCTTTAGTAATTTTTGCATTTTTCAGTTCAAGTCTATTCCTGAATCTTTGTAACCATCCCTAATGTGCAGTGATGGCTCGGTGTCACTCGTTTCAGGTGATACCTTGCTGCAGTCTTCATACAGGCTCAGTGTTCTAGTGCAACACGTTTTCTGTTCCTGTCTTCTACCCACAAATTTAACGTATTTTCGTTCTTACCTGAGCACTTACCACACACTGTGGCTGTAACTTATGCAGTTTGAGGTGCAACAGCAAAACTAGCATGAATTTTGTGGATAGATTTGTTCTTTCTATAGAGCTTAGTAACCTAAACATATGATTTTTTTTCTTTATTAAGAACTTCTACCTTTTCACTTAAAGGGAGCACTTTACAGCTTCTCTTTAGCATATTCAAATTGCTAGCATTAGCAAAATTAAAAATACTCTTGAGCTTTGGGGTCTAAGTAAAATAAGAGTTACTTGAACACAAGCACTGCGATACTGCAATAGTCAATCTGGTAACCAAGATGGCTCCTGAGTGACAACAAGTCACTCCTAACAAGTAGGTAGCAAATACAGTTCAGATACACTGGACAAAGGGAAGATTCATGTACTGTCAGGACGGAGAGAGATAACAGGAGATTTCATCACGCTACTCAGAATGGCACGCAATTTAAAACTTATGAATTAATTTAGTTCTGGAATTTTGCATTTAGTATTTTTGGACCACAGTTGACAATGGTAACTGAACACAGAAAGCAAAACTGCATAAAAGGGGGAAGCAGCGTATTCATGTATGCAACTAATTAGAAGTTTTTATACCATACTCTGTTCTTTATGTGTGATTATGGTGATGATGGTGATGTTGATAATGATGATGACAATTAAGATAATTACTATGATGATAACTATCATTCATTAAATGCCTTCTTTGTGCAGGCCACTATAAGATGCACTACAAATGAGACCTTTTTTGCTTCTATAGCCCTATGAAGTGGTGGTGGTATGAAGTGGTTGAGGTTCAAAGATGTTAAGTAGTTTGCTCAAGGCCACACAGTTATGTAGTGGTGCTAACATTAAAATATTCAAGTCCTAAGAGCCTGTTTTTTTGTTCCAGTTTTCCTTTCTGACCTCCATCTTTATATCCTCTATAGAATGAAGTAGGTGCTCATTAAAGTTGAAAGACTGTGATATCAGGTTCCTACTTGAGCTTATAATCACTCATCATTGATGATTGTATGTTTAGTAACTTTTTTGCTTACTATTTAAAGAATACTTAATTTTAACCCCCCAAGCAAAAAAAGCAGCATTTCAGACTTTATAGTATAAAATGGTCTGCAGTAGCTATTTTTAATTTTGCTAATAAAAAGTCATATAATATGTATAAAATTCATGACTCATCTTTTGGCTGGAATGTGAGTTTTTTCCTTAAGTTTCCACTTAATTCACCTTCTTAGACTCTTTGAATTGCACTGTGTGACTTTTAGAGATAAGTTCTATAATGCTTGAATCTCATCTGACATTCTAGAATGTATCAGAGATCAAAGCAGTCCCAGAGATAGTAATGGGAGAGTGTCGTTTGTCTCTCCATTCTGCTTACACACGTAGTTTGCTGCAGTTTTCCACAGATTTTGACATTATTCCACTCTTAAGAGGGGAATGCTGAGAGATGGAATCCTTCTTTGCCATTTATGGGAATATAGCTAAGTTGTAGCGACCAGTGTGTGGTCCAGGTCTTATGAGTAAAAAGTCCTGTGTGAAGTTTGGTAATTAGAGAGTTCATGGTCAGCTCTTCAGAGCATACTCTTTCAGTGAGGCAGCTGATACCCTAGGCCTTGAGAGTTTGGGGCATGGGGGAAGTGGAACAGTAACCTCACCTTATCCTGCTTACACTGGCTTTCAGCTACTCCTCTGGTTTGGGGTGAAATGGTGGCTGTCAGCCAGCCAGCCACACTGGCCATTTGTGAAGCCATTACTATTCTTGAGAAACTTAATCAAATAATCACACAAATAAATAAATCGTTGTCACTTTGAGAAATGCCATGCAGAAAAAGTGTTCCTGGGCCTATTGGTGCTGTTGTTCCCTCCCTATGACCCAATGCCACATCCGCCCTTCTAACCTAGACAGAATACCTGTGTTATTTTTATATATAAAACTCTTACTTCTCCATCAGTCTGACTCCTTCAGTGAAGCCTGTCCCATTCAGCCTGCACTGATACTATCTTCAGAACTTTCTTGAATATCACACTTAGTACTTAATTTTTTCTTTAATGTTGCCTTTCTACTTCTATACCTCTACCTCCCTCTCTCCCTCCCTCCGTCTTCCCCTTCCCTTTCTCACTCACATTATGCACTCCTGCCCCAGCCTTCTTTCTATTCTTCAGCTATGGCAAGCTCTTCCCTGTACTGGGGCCTTTGCCCTAGCAATTCCCTATGCCCTGAAATATGCTTCATTCAATCTTTGTCTGATTAATTCCTCATTATTTAGATCTGAGTTTAAATTTTATCTCCTTATAGAGGCCTTCTCTGACCATCCAATCTAAAGTAGCTACCCAGTCATTCATCAAGTTACCTTATTTTAATTTTCTTCTAACATATCCTACTATCTGATACTTTTCTTATATAAAATGTCCATCTCCTTGCACTAAAAGGTAAACTTCAAAAGATCACCGACACTTGTGTTGTTCATCACTGGTATAAGTTAGGCTCCATAAATATTTGTTGTGGTAAGCAATCTGTGAGGTCAACCAAGGGTTGCCTTGCCTTAAATGAATGAATGAATGAATGAATGAATGAATGAATAAAAAAATGGTCCAATGCCCCTGAACATTTTCCTCCTAAAGGGAAGAGGGAGCAGAATTCCCAACTCCTCGTTGGACTCCCTTATTCAGAACACACTGCTGCTCACTCCAGGAGCTCTGCTTAAATTCTCTGCATAGTACTTACTGTTATCTGGTACTTTTCTTCTTTGTTTTTCTCTCACCTTCCACTATGATGTAAGCCCTGTGAGAACAAAACCTCCTGGTGTTGTTTGCCACTATCTCCACAGTGCCTGCAGCAGTGCCAGGCACAGAGAAGATGCCAAACATTTGTTGAAGGAAAGAATAGGAGATCAGGTTCACTTCGTTTTATATCTGTCTGGTGCCTACCACAGTGTTAGGTGTATAACAAATACCCAGAAACTTTAGTGGTTACTCTCTGAGGCCACTCTGAATATAATTGCCATTGGTAGAACTGTGTCCTCATTCTGCCTAGAATTGGGGGCAGGAAAGCTAAGAATCTTTCAAGAATGTTTTGAGCCACACTGCATGGTTGTTAGAATATGATCTCTGCAGCCTGAAGTTGAATATTATACAGGTTCCCCAGTCTCCAATCGACAGAAGTCCAGCTATTTAGAATTCTACCCCTAAATAGCAGAAGAGAAGATGTATTTTATTTTGATTCAATTTCTATTTTAATACATTCAGTGCATCCGTCAGCAAGTCAGTGGGTATTTATTGAGCCCCTTCAGGGTACAAAGTAGTGCTTTGGTTGAGCTATTGAGTTTGAAATATTAATCACATTGTTAAACCAAAACTAAATCCCCAAGTAGTTGAAAGCGCTGCTCCAGTTGTCAGAGTACAGTTGCTGTATTTTGTGATGATGGGCTTTTACTTTATAATATATGTACTCACTTGGGCAAGAACAAAAGTTCAGTAAATAACTGAGGTGTTATTTTTTTTACCAAAATGACGTCTTTCAGGGGTCTTGGATCATTAGCTTTCTTTCTGTCCAATCGTTGAAGGATTGTGTTGTGATCACTGTTGTAATCATCTTTTGGGTAATTTAAGGTTTTTGGACCTTGTACCTGCCAGGAGTATGATAAAGAATAATACTTGCTTTTTCTTTTTTGGCACTAGTGTTTAAATTGGGCAGGGAAAGAAGGGGTGTTATTGCCGCCTCCTAGATCTCAAGTCTATTCAAGGTACTATAGTTCCTCTATTCCTGTGAGCTGAATAGAGTGTAATGTATGGATCACAGAAATGCATGAAATCCAAGGGTGCCTTGACATCAGCATCAATTGTAGAGTTTATGAAGGAAGCATTCACTGTGCAAATTTTGTTTCTATTGTTTCCATTGTTATTCTTTTCCTTTCAGATTTCTCTGTTGAATTCTGCAGTGAACCACCTGAAAGCCAATGTCAAGTCAGCAGCAGATTTAATTAGCCTGCCTGCCACTGTAGAGGGACTTCAGAAGGTAAGTGCTATATGTATGGGCACTGTGATTAACCAACCTACTGCTTCTTACAAGTTTTCTTTGGAAGGCTAACCCTTGAAATCAGCTGCTCCATGAGGACAGTAATAGAGTATATCACTGTTTCTAAAGAGTTCAGAATATCTCTGTTTTGGTCTGATTAGTTCAGCCTTTGATTTGCATCAGGCGACATTAACTCTAGTTATGTAGGTTCACACCTTTTTATTTGGCTCTCCAAGTCCCAAGATTGCTCTGCTGGGACTCTTAGGTTAACCTATGTGGGTTTGCCTTTCATCATTTGCCTTTTCAATTCCTCATCCACAGTGTCTTCATGAAAACAGACCAATTGTACATGAGATTTGCTCTAAATTACTATTAATTTCTAAATTACTATTTTCTTTCTAAAAAAATTATATGAAGAAATGCAAAAATTAAAAAGTCAGGATATGATAAGTGTTGGCAAGGATGTGCAGCAAAGAGAACTTTTAAACAGCCCTGCTGGGAGTACGTATTGGTAAAAGCATTTTTGAAAAGAAACATATTATTTTATAAAGGTAAAGGTGCACATCCTCTAAGCAATTCACTCGCAACTTTAAGAAAAATAAAGTAGGGACAGCTTTGATGAGGCCAAATTCTTCTTGCCACTGTTCCCGAGGGCTTAGTGGAAAAAAGGTAAGACTTGCATTAGAAAAGGAAACTGGTTTATCTTGCATTCATTAATTCAATAATGAATTAATAATGAATTATCTTGCATTCATTAATTCAATAATGAATAATGTGGAGCTTCCTCCAGTATGTGCCAGGCACTTTGCAGTTGTTGAGGATACTAGTTTCAGGGTTTTGCTCTAGATTCTACATGGCTCTGTCAGCTGCTTCCTTTAAAACAATAATCTTGAACAAGAAATTACTATCATCTTGCATCCTGATGGTCTCGTAAGTCCAGCCAGTGAGGATTCTCTAACATTAGGTGTCTTTGAATGCCTGTAGCTTCTGTAACAACAGAGTATGCATAGATAACATCCCAGCCTATAGATTTTACCCAGTGTGTTGTCTCTTTGCAAATCTATGTGTTTATAATGTCAGGCACTACTTATATTACAAGTGGCTCAGTTCTGAAGTGGTAGTTCATCTCAAATACATAACTTCATTGTACTCATGTGAATTTTTTTTAAATGTTGTTCTCTTGGAATCTTGGCTATCAGTATAATAATATAAAAGACCTTGGTTAAAAATACTAATGCGACACTATAAAATTGTCAGTATATCTTAATAAAAGGCCAACACCGCCAAATAGTAACATTTTGGGGGATGTTCCCTTAGGACAGTTCTTTTTAACCTATTTCCCATTTAGAAAAAAAAAAGTACAGCTTGCTGCCAGCGTTAATTTAACATCACACGTGGGATGTTAAATGTTTCTAGGATTTGACATTTTTTCAGCCATGGAGAATTACTCTGTTTTGTAAATGGAAATACCATTACTAAAAACAGAATGCTATAAATAAAATGATGTCATTTGTTTCCAAAGACTATCGATATACTAGAGCAATGCAAAAATAATAAAAAAAGAGAGATATTTCATGGCAAACTTTGGGGGTAAGGTTAGGACTATAATCCGCAAGTTATCGCGGGGTAAATACTGCAGCTGCAGGTGCCGCCAGCAAGTGTTCTCGGGGCAAACGGGAAAAGGGTTAAAAAGATGGTTTCTGAATCATATTGCCAAATCCCTAGTCCACTTGGGCTCCTCGGGCCTAATGAAAGCAAAGTAAGCTACTACTCTATCTAACTCTACTCAATGAGATTCTAAAGTAGAAAAAGAGCAAATGCTGCCAAATAGACTTTTTCCTTAATCTCTGCAATGCTGGTTATCCCAAAGCCAAATGGTTGCGCCCATTTTCACTCAAAAGTCATCATTTTCTCCTGACTCAGTGGCAGTCTACAGTGTTAGCTCTGGCCATCTGCCTGCCTTCAGCCGGGCTTGGTAGAGGCAGTTTATAGGGGAACCTTATCTGTGGGTCCCAGATTTGTAAACTAATATCTTTTTTTTAGGAACAATTTGGTTTTCCTCTAGGAGAAGTCTTTTAAATTGGGAAAATTGCTTGTTTTATATATGTATATAGATTCTTGTTAATTGTGTCAGTACAAACTACATGAAATTCATAATTTGAAGCTATTTGAAGTAATTAAAAACACTGATCTTTATTAGGTCAGTGTTTAAAGTAAAATGAAATCACAATGATATACCACTAAACCCTCACTAGAATGGATAAAATTGAAAAGATGCAGGTACCAGTATTGATGAGGATATGGAGTAACTGGAATTCTCATACATCACTAGTGGGAATGTAAAATGATATAACTATTTTAGAATACAGTTTGGCGTTTTTTTAAAAAGTTAAGCATACATCTATCATATGTTTAGCCATTAACTCCTAGTTATTGTATTGATGAGAAAGCATATGATAAAAGGAGATGAAAACATGCCTACATAAAGGTGTATACATGAACATTTTATTGCAGCTTTATTTATAATTGTCACATATCTAAAACAACCTGGACGCCCATCAGCTGGTGAAGAGATAAACTGTGATGTATCCACACAATGGAATGCTACTAAGCTACATGCTGAGTAGCTAGCTACACATGGATAAATTTCAAAATTTATTATAATTACTAATAATAACTATGTTTCTGTTCAGAGCGTAGCTTCCATCGGCAATACTTTAAACAGTGTCCATCTTGCTGTGGAGGCAATACAGAAAACTGTGGATGAACACAAGAAAGCCATGGAGTTATTACAGAGTGATACGGTAAGAAAATCTACAAATGCTACGGAAAGTCAGCATACTCCTGCCCACTCTTCTGTGTAATAGTAGTAATACCCACTTTCCATTTGTCTAAACAGACCCTATTATACACCTTTTTAAAAGATATAATAAGAAATGTTTATTGATTTTTTGACAATGTAAATTAAGCCATTAAGGTGGGTAGAATTAAGAGCTGAGTCTTTTGCAAATGTGCTGAAGGAGCTAATAGCGATAAGACACAGTTTCTGAGGGTGGAATGGGTAGGAAAGAAAATAGAAAAGCAGAAAAGGGAAGTGGCAAAGTATCTGTTATTTATTGCTATATAACAGATCACCCCAAATTTATTAGCTTAAAACAACATGTTGTTATTTCTCACTAGTCTGTGGGTCAGGAATTTGACAGGGCTCTTAGACTGTGGAATGATGAGAGACCAAGTGAAGAGCAGTTCTAGAGGATGAAAGGTCCTCTCAGATGTTCCAGCTCCAGCCAGGCCCCCAGTTGAATGCAGCCATATGTGTGACTTCAGCCTACACCATGTGGAACAGAATACCCCCACCCCTGCTGAGCCCAGTCAACTCTCAGAATCCTGAGAAATAATAAATTGTCGTTTTAAGCCACAAAGTTTTGAGATGATTTGTTATGCAGCAACAGATAACTGAGGCAGAAGCAAACCCCTGCAGTGCTCGGGAATTGTTTTCGAATGTCCTCAATGCTATGCAGATGTAAGCTGTCTGCAGTCATGCAGGGGCCTAATGGGTACTCAGCTCCATGTAGGGTTTATGAAGGGTGGAAAGGATGGCACAGCCTCCGCTGCTGTCCTGGGGAGATGAGTTATATGTACATGAAATGGGGACTGTTCAAGCACACAGACGTTCCCTGGCTTCTCCACTCATTTCTAGGTCTGCTTCCCATGCTTTTTACAAGCTTTGGATTTTGAAGTTTAAACAGGGCAGTTTGTACCAAGGAAACCAAGGCTATATCAGAGCTCTAGAACAGAGAGTTTTCATTTCTTCAGAAAGAGTACTTCTCACTGTTATTTAGTGGAGGTGACTGGGGTAAAAGCATTGATCTCAGTGTCCAGACACCCCAGATTCCAGCTCCAACTCTGCCATTGAGTAACTGATCCATAATAATAAAGACCTCTCTAACTTACCAATTCTTTCATTATTATTACTATTTTAATATCTTCAGCATTTTCTCAAGTAATTAAATATTTTATAAAATATTTTTTCTTAATGCAAAAATTCATACTTTATAGAACCATGGGGTTTTTACCCCCTCCTCTCCTCCTTTTCTGTGGTTGCCTTTTGTTTCTTATAAAAGGGGGGTTATTAAATGTCCAGGATTTCAGATTTCAAGGGAAACTATTTTCACCAATTGCCTTCTGCTATAATTAAATCTACTTCTTTTAAACTTCCATGGTTGCCAATAGTAATCCTCCTTCTGGCATACTTTGTACTGAATAAGTCATAGTTATGGGCTCTGAAAGATTAAGCAATACAGAGTTTTTCCACTAGAGGGAAAATGTATATATAAACATGTTATACGTCAGTCTCTGCAAAGAGAGACTTGAGCAGTGGGAAGGGAATGGGAAAGGAAGTGTAACCCTCAAACATAACTTTTGGCATGTGCTATAAATGTGCGTAATTGGTTGTTGTACTCAGTGCCCACAGCCAGTGGTTACGTGACCGATTCCTGGGGGAAATGATGACACTAACCAGGTCCAGACTGAGTTGATCCCTGGGATGTTATAGTGATTCTGTAGTTTCTTGGGGAGTACAGGTAATAAGGACTGGTTCCTAGGGAGTCATTCTGTTCAGAGACTGAGAAACACTAGGAGGATCTCAGTTCCCTAAGGTGCTGCTGGTCCAGTCCATGCCTTAAGCTGGGCATCCCCAGAATTACCGGGAGCCCTTGGGGCCTAGCACAGGGCTGGCCACACTGTAGGTTCCTGGGCAATGTTGACTAACCTGTGGATGCCCCATGTGAGAAGCTAAAATGTTATGGGACCACCCCAGATGGTTAAGTAGACCTAGAACTTACTGCCTGTACTGATCTCTATTGCTGTTAATAGAATCAGCACTCCTCGAAGGAGACCAGTGGAAGCAACCAGATCACTCCATCACCTTCAGCTCCATCAGAACTTGACAATAAAACCCACAATGAGAATTTGAAACAGGTAGTTTTTGTCTTTGGCTTAACTCCCTGCCACCACAGTGGACTCTGGAGGCAGCCTGAGTAGTTTGAGCTCAGTGTTGTGGTGCCTCAGCAGGCATCCGTGTATATATTTGCCTGGCTAAGAGCTGAGCAGAGGGAGATGTGTGATGCTGTCCTGTCTCTTTTTTAAGCACTCTTTTTTTTCCTGTATGTCGATCAGTGGAGTAAATTCCTTTTCACACCTTGAAAGACATAGAATGACCAGATTATTTTGAAACTCTTTATGAAAAATAGCAATCTAGGCAAGTTAAAGATGGGTAGATAGCAGATTAATTCAAAGTGATGACTATTTTGAGCCACAGTAAATTCTAAGAATGTTAGAAAGCATATCCTTGAAAAGAGTCTCTAAAGACTAAAGACAGAGGAGGAAAAAGGATATTGAGTTCAGAATCACATTGAAGAGCATAAGGGAAATCTTCACAAGAAGAATTCCTGTCCTGAGTTTAATGCCCTTTGAAACCTATGTCATCATTTCTATTTAAGTAGTAATCAGTAACTAAAGGATGTCAATAAAAATAATTGAATCTTGTACTAAATAATGCACTAATTATGGTTTTGCTACATGAGCCAATTCAGTAATTGGTATTGTTCCTAAGGTAGTTTTGTTCTGACAAATTAGGTTAATGGACATTTCAGTTAATAACCCAGCAGGCTTTCCTGCCAGCAAGTGAGGTAAACATTGGGGAATTAATTCCCAGGCTCTCAGCTTCCTGGGACCAGAGAGTGAATCATGTGGGTAGTCCTCGTCCCTCTTTCCCCCTCCTGTCTAGCTGAGGTCAAACAACTCCAGAGGGAGTAAACTGGAAGCGATTTAGAGTGGAGGGACAAAGCAGAGACAGACGATCAATGGTACAAACCAGGAAAAGGAGTTTACTTCAATAACTTGACATAAAAACGGTTGTTCAATGCTGCTGGCCTGCTTGTCTAGTATACATTTTTAGCTGGATTCCACAACTTGATTTATTTCCACTCCAGGATATCCTGTACCTTCACAACTCTTTAGAGGAGGTAAACAGTGCCCTAGTAGGGTACCAGAGGCAGAATGATCTTAAACTCAAGGGGATGAATGAGACAGTCAGTAATCTTACCCAGAGAGTCAACTTGGTAGAAAGAGATCTGGTTGCTATGAGCAAGGTAGAAAAGCAAGCGAACCTGTCCTTCAGCATGGTAAGCCTTTTCAGATCTTTTGTGATGTGTTGTGTGTTCTGTGTATACATAAATGACATTCCACCACCTTTTCAATCTTCTGTCATATTTGAGAGGCTACACGTTTGTGTTGTGCTTAATCCTTGTCTCCTCTAATCTTTACACTAGCTCTCTGATGTGAATGGCCCAGGCAGTGTTGGTCCTGATTTGGATAGGAGATGTAGAGAGGTTCAGTTGCTTGCCCAGGCCTCACCACAGGTGTTGGCAGAGATAACAAGCCTATTATGTTACCAGTGACCCATCTGGTAGGGAAGCTCTGGCACATTTTCCAAGCGAGGTCATCTTGATCTTCTCTAAGTTATTAAGGGTGAGAGCAATGACAGTGACAAGAGCTAAAGAATATTTTGCCATTTTGTGAAGCCCGAACTCGGCTTTCAGATTTATCCTGCTTTGTTTACAGATTAGGGGAATCCTTTTGCATATAAAGTCAGGAAAGCCATTTAAAACAGATCTGACCAGCTTCTCAAGTTAAGAGATCATTGAGTCCATCCTCTCATTTTACATATGAGGAAACTGAATGACCTACTAAGTCACCAATGCTGGCAGACCATGTCGTTTACTTATTTTCGTGTTATTGTGAGTAAAACGTGTGTTTCTTTAATCGCCTTTTACATATACTTTGTGCTGGGATCCATGTGGATTATTTTTTAATAGCTGCAAGCCCCTACCCTTAAAGATTTCATACATCAAAGACACAGACATGTTTAAAGAAATGGAAACCAAATATAGGAAATTGTGCTGTAAATTCAAGTAACCACCAAAGCTGAAAGCAAGCCCACAAATAAAGTTGAACTCTGGCACATAGAAAGCAGCATTTGAACTGGCTGTGCCACATTGGAGCCTTGGCAAGTTGCCTCGACTTGGCTTTGAGTGTGGAGTAAGACCTGTTCCCACTCCTGCTTTACAGGAGTGTGTAATTAACTACAAAGCTGGGAAGATTAAAGGAGCCTTATTTTTAAAAGCCCTTTTGAACTTAGCTAAACTAAGCAGGAGGGCTAGGAATTTTGGATGGTTTGATGAGTATTAGGCCTTAAAGGTTTTCAAGGCTTATTATAAAAACTTACCACCCCAAAAGCCCTGTACTCTCTCTCCTCCCTACTTTATTTTGCATCAAAAGAGGAAATTGTTAATAGTACCATCCGTCTTACTGTTTCTTCTGACAGCATCATACCCACAATGGTTCTAGGTAAAAGTTCTCTCTCTTTATACTTCAAAGTTTTAAGTTTGTGAACGAAACAGCTAGACTAAGCATCATTTTCAGCTTTGTATCTCAGTGGTCTTTCTTCCTCTCATCTCTCATTCTCCTACTGGTATTTCTGTTGAAAGTGTTCTGAGACGCATTAAATAAGTACAACCAATTTATTTAAAAAGTGCTAGATGTTGTTTAAGTTTTAATGTTTGCCTTTAATCTCCTCTTGTTGTTCTTTTTACCCCTTAAGATGGGTGATAGAGCTGCCACTCTGAAAAGAGAATCTATACATCAAGTGACCAATAGAACAGATACAGTAAAAACCCAAAGTATAAAGGTAAATAATAGGAGGCTTACTCTGAAGTAAATATACAGGCATTAGCATCTTTGTGCTTTGGAGCTACTGCTTCTTTCTCAAAAGGAGCACTTTGATCTCATTTGCTGAAACTTAAAGACAAAGTAATAGGTAAATTAGTATGTTGAATAAATGAATATAAGGCACCTACCCTGTGCCAAGCACTTTGCTAGGAGCTGAGGTGACCAGAGTGAGCAGGATAGACATGTGATTCCTATTCTGATGGAGCTCAAAGTCCATCAATCAGAAAATCATTAACACATAATTGAACAGATAATCACAAATATGATAACTGCTACAGAGGAGAAGTATAGGGTATGATGAGGGTGTTAACAGGGATGAGGAAGGCTTCCCCAAGGAAATGACTTTTAAGTTAAGACAGTAAGTTATGTGTACTGATGATGGAGAACAGAGACTTAAATAGCCTAAAAATGGTGTCTAACCTAAAAATTATTTCTTATTTTTAGATTGCTGTCTCAGAACTTACATAGCCAGTTCCCTTCACCTTGTAGCTTTCCCTTTTTTTGTTTATCCCAGACATATTGTCAAGATAGGACAAGCAATCTGTGATCTAGTCTGATATCCAGGGAAAGAAAGTTTATTTGCAACATTCTCTATGATTAGAGTGTTGTTTAATATTATAAGACCTGGGCTACACTAAAGGAAAATCCAGAGAGATTGTGACTGAGTAGTTAAAATACCATCTCAGGTACATATTGACAAGGTCAGAGGATATGAGGTTCAGAAGCAATGAATTTAGAAATGAACCATATAGTATAGGCAGTTTTCGATGTAATGATTTCCATCTATAGTTTTTCTTCCTTAACAGTTTTGTATTGTCTAGATAAAAATCACATGTTAAATTTTTAATGTTCTGTAAACTAAATTCTTGTTGCATTTTCTGCTTCTGCAAAAAAAACAAAACAAAACAAAAAAACAAAAAAAACACAACTTTTTAGAAAAACCTCACCTGGAGAATGACAAGAAAATTTAAGAGCCAGATAGATATGTGTTGAGCTCAAAAAGTAACAGGTGGTTACTATTGGAAAGTAGTACTGATTTCAGTAACAGTTCACATTTTTTTAACAGTAGATATCAGAATAAAATACAGCTAGTACACATTTTTACCTAAATTTCTTGTCTTTACTTTCAGACCCTTTGTGTTTTTTAACTGCCATCTCAGTGTATTAGTCTTTTTGCGTTGCCTCATCTAAGCTCCTTACCATAAATTCTTCAAGCATTTAGGACCTAATTTTAGTTACATATGTCCATATATTAGCTCCTTAAGTAAACCAAGAGTGATCTACTATATAGTTAACTATAAGAGTAGAAATAAAGACAGGAGAGAAATAAGTAAATATAATTGAACAAAAGAAGCATGTAAGGAGTTGTTCTAATTAAACAAAGGATCAGGACCTTTCACCCTAGCCTAAGCAGTTAGAAACTGGCCTCATAGAAACCAGCCTTCTCTCTTTTTATAATTAAATGTATATGCCACTCTAGACCATCCTGGGAATGAGGCTGGGTATGGGGGGTGGGGAACTTTTTAAAAAGATATAAATAAGACTTTGAATCAGAAATATTACAGCTTCTTCATGTTCCTAACAGTTTCTGCTACCAGTTGAATCATTACCATGGGAGGAGAAAAGAAGATCAAGGGAATATTTGTGGTTTGGTAGCTTTTTATGTAAGGTGATAAGAGCATAAAACTCGACCTAAAGCAGTTTAGTCACAAGGTGAAGATATTCAGGAAAATTATTTAGTTAATGTGAAATAGTTCTTAGAAAACAATATCCTACTCACTTAGGAAATGGGTATTACAGAGGCATCTGAGCAAGGGTACATTTCCTTTACTGCTGACGCATACATGCCTTCCCTCATCAGCCAAATGTTCACAGCGAATCAGGCCATCTGTAGCATAATGTTCCCTTAATGGGCTAGACTCAAATCCAGCTAGGCCTTCATCAACACTGAGTACCAAAGATATCTCTAGTATTTGTGGATTCATTCCTTCATTGCATGTATTTATAGGGAACCTACTGGGGGTGAAGCACTACATGCTAAATAGGCTCTAGGAATATAATGAAGAATCAAATGAGGTCTTCCACCTTAAATCTTCTGTGATCTTTGTTTTGGGCAGAAAGAAGATAGTTCAGATTCTCAGGTATCCAAGCTAAAAGAGAAACTGCAGCTGATCAGCGCTCTCACAAACAAACCTGAGAGCAACAGGCCTCCAGAGACCGCCCATGAAGGTGAGATATTCAGGGCTGACTTCTGAATATTTCACGCAGGCTTGGGCAGCTTGCCTCCCACACAGGGAGTGGAAAGGTGTTGCAGCAGGACTGATCGAACCAAGTGAATGATGCCTGAGCGCACCGAGATGAAGCTGATACACTTTGCTTTCATTTGGAAAAAGCCCATTTGGTACATGATTTGTACTCCAGTCTATTAAGGGAAGAAAGGGTAATGTTTAGCTGGAAATAGACTTCTCCATGCTGTCTGCATCCAATTATAGGCAAAAAACGTGACTGTCATAGTGTGTATTAAACCAACTAAATGTTGTTTATGGGAGTCTTTTCATTTCTGTAAGTGCGTAAAATTTACTTAAAAATAAATATTAGTTCTTCTGTAAAACCATTAACAAATAATAGGATCATTGAGTTGCAAAGTCCCTTGGCTTTAGGTAGGGACCTACCTAGTCAATATTGGCAGATGCATCAGCCTGGTTTAAGCTCTATAAGGATGTAACCAAGGCATTGGACTGTTAGCTTTGACTCCTAGCCCCCACTAGTATTCTTAACTTGGGGGAAAACAATACAACCTCTTTTGTTCTCTTTTGGGCAGGAGACAGACTATAGTGGGAGGCCTTCTAACATTGTGCTCCATAATCATATGATAACATTCTTTTAGCACCAGCTGATCTGGTGGTACATCCTGCCATATCAGGCTTATAGCACAGCTCCTAGGATATCAGATATCCAATACTGTTCTCACTTGCAGCTTAAACTCTTAACATCTAAACATGTATAATGCTAACTTGTACTATAAGATCTTCCAATGAGACCACAGCTTCAAACCTTAATGGTATATAATACTGATTAATCTTCATTACCCACAAATCATATTCACTTAGTCACTATGCTACTTAATTCTCAGCTATTTCTCTTAAAATAAGTATATATGCAATTAAATTAAACCAGTACTGAAGGTCCTAAATGGTGACCTTCAGTACTGGTTTAATTTGGTATCAGATTAGACAATACTAAAACCATATGTGTTTGTTACAGAGGACGTACAGAGTTTCACATCAAAGCCATCAGCATTGCCAAAATTTACACAGTCTCATGGAGACCAAATTGAAAAAGCTACGCAGCTGAGACCTATCTCTCTACCAGGAATTTCTAACATCGAAGGTAAATTTTTATACCATGGAGTAATAGGAGAAATATTCAAAATTATAATTTTTATTGTTTTAACATGATTGAGTACCTCCTATGAGCTAGATTCTTGATACACATTATATCATATAATCCTGATTAACAATCCTGGGAACATAAATATTCATGTATGATACCTATTTTACTGATAGGGAAACTGCCTAAATCCACACAGCAACTGATTGGCTGAGGCAAAATTCATACCAAGACAGTTTGATGTCAAAGTTTTTACTCTTAACCAGTGCACTATATTATCTCTCTACTAATGTTTTTTTTAGAGTTTTCATTTATTCAATGAGTGCCTAATTAGTCCCAGTGCTAAGCGGTAAGGATACAGTATAAGAAAGTCTCACTTTCCTCACGGATATAACAGTCTAGTGGAGAAGGCAAACAAGCAAACACAATACTGTGAGGTTAGCAAAATAAAAGTAAAAGCTGACCTATTTGTCAGGGCCCTCCAAAAATGAAGAGTCCTTTGGTCCAAAGTCAGCAAGATAAAAATTAGTAGGAAAGGTATGATTCACAGAAAAATGTGTTGCCTTGCTTCCAACAGTATGTATTCTATCCCTCATTGTGATGTTTGGGTCTACAGATTTTACATTTGCTAACTGCCTAGAAAATCACCCCTCTCCTGTCCATCTACCTTTGCCTGGCTCTTCATCTCAGCTTAGATACCGTTCCACCAGGAGACATTTTCTGACCTTTTATAACATTTTGTTTGCCCCTGTTTAGCACATGTTGCTCTACTGTAATTTCTTAGGGAAATAAAAAATTAACCTTACCCTCAGCCCCTAGCATAGTGCCTGGTACACATGAATATTTGTTAAGCGAATGAGTTATCTACAGGCTACAATTAAAATTTAAGCGTAGAAGACTTAAATTTACATTGCCATTTAAAAGCATATACTTTTTTCCTATCCCCAGTTTTTTTCTTTCTGTTTTTTGAGAGAGACAGGAGAGTGTTAAGTTATGTTTATTGGCAACACAAGTTGCTTCCTCCCACTCTCCATTATTACATCAAGAATTGATGAGAGGAAAGGCTGTTAGAGCAAATTAAGAAATAGCCATCTTAACAGTTATACTTCAACCCCTAACATAGGCCTTATATACTTTCAAATGACTACACTTTTGAAATGACCTGAAATAGCATTCAGATTTTTATTTGTATACTGCTACCAAGTGCAGAGCACATTTTATAAACTCATGCCGCACATACACACACACACCATTTTCCAGCTAGCCACTTGGTGGCAGGCAGTGGGAACAAGCATCCCAACAACTTTTCTGGCTTTCAGAGAGCTTTTGAGACTTACTTAGCTGCTTTGCTGAGGCTATCTTAGGAGTGAAAGTAGGACCTTATTCAGAAGCTTGTTTACAAAACTCGTTGATGGTCTGGACCTTGTGCTACAACTGTTTGTCCTCCTGTCAGACCATTTTCACTCTTCCTAGGTACCAAATAGCAGGAGGCCTATTGAATCGAAGTGTAAAGTTGAATAAATGAAAAAAGGAAAAGAATTTAGGAAGATTTTTAAAGAAACATAAGCCTCACTGTCTTCTGGTATTAGAGACTAAATCTAAGAAGGGACACTGTCAAGTCCTTTTTAAATGTTATGTAAGTAACTGACCCTTCTAACTCTTCATTATGGGGTCCTTGAGAAAATACCAGAAGAGATTGTTGATAGAAATTCTCCAATCCTATTGGCTCAAATAATATTTTAGAAAGGAAAAAGAAGATACTGATCAACTGATGGTATTGCTCTCTCTTATCTGGAATAGAGAGAAGAAGGGAACGTACATAAGTGAGCACAAAAGCCTGACACTGTGTATACAGTATACCTAGCTTTGAAGAGATATATAGTCATCTGGGTTTTTTAAATTGAGATATTATTCACTCTTTCAAAATGTATAAGTCAGTGGTTTTTAGTACATTCACCAGGGTGTGAAACTATCACTACTATAATTGCAGAACATTTTATCATCCCAAAAAGAGACCCTGTATCCTTTAAACAATATTTCCCTATTCCCCCTCCCCCTAGCCCTGATAACCACTAACCTCTCAGCCTATCTCTTTGGATTTGCCTATTTGGGATATTTCATAAAAATGGAATCAAAACAATCCATAGCCTTATGTATGCTTCTTTCAGTACGCTCCTTTAATTTAGCATAATGTTAATATCCATCCATTTTGTAGCACATAGCAGTGTTTCATTACTTCTTATGGCTGAACGATATTCCATTGTGTGGATGTACTGCATTTTGTTTATCCATTCATCTGTTGTGATGGACATTTGGATTGTTTCAGTTTTTGCCTATTAGAAATAATGCTGCTATGACTATTCATATACAAGTTTTTATGTAGACATATGTCTTCATTCTCTTGAATATATACCTAGGAATGGAATTACTGGGTCATGCGATAACTCTTTAACAGACAGTATGCCGTAGTCTGTTTTACAGGTTCAGCTCCTTTCAATTAGTTCTTTAGGCTTCTGCAGTCCTTTTTGCTCTTTTAGCATTAAGAACAAAAATCTGGAAAATCTCAAAGGAAGGTCTTGGACAAAGAGAAGGTCAGTCCATTCATTTCTCCTGTGATTATCTGTCACTGCTTCTATTTTGGGAGGATAGTGTCATACAGTATTCCTCTCATTCTTAAAGGATCAAGAATTAGTCTTTCTGGTTTAGTGAGGTACTAAACTTTACCTTTTGGAAACAGAGTCTGCAAAGTAGCTTTCCTTTTAGTGCCTTAAATTCAGTTGGGGCTATTTTTTAAACTGTTAACTAAATATAACTATATGTATAGACATATACACTTTATGTAATTCCTTTTTAACAGATCTTCAGGATTTATTCCACAAGAGTGGCCAGAATGTCGATGGGAAGCTGACCTACCAGGAAATCTGGAACTCCTTAGGTTCTGCCATACCAGTACCGGAGAGTTTGAGAGAGTTTGATGTCGATGGAGATGGAAAATACTCATTCTCGGAGCTAAGAGTAGCTTTAGGTGTCTAGCCTCATCGGGCATATTTAGAAACGGATGTATACCCCGGACTGCTTAATGTCTACACACCTAACAAAGACACCCTTTTACTTACCTATCAATCCTCCAGTCCTCCAAACTCCTGTAGCAGACATGTTGCCCTTTTAACTTGTTTGAAATGCTATATAAAAGTTATTTTTTTAAAAAAAGAAGACCATTTTACTTATGATATTCAGAAATCTATGATTTCCTGGAACCAATAAGATCTTAATTTTAAAATTGCCAGAAAAAAAATCAAGCCCTCTTTTTTTTCCTCTTTCCTTTTTTTGAAGGGAGGAGACCTTACCTTTTAGAACTGGAAAATGTGTATGTAGAGAGAATAAGCCACCTTTTATATTTCACATAAATTTGCCTTAAATTAGCTGCACTTTATACAGACTCAGAAAATGTCTTTCCTTTAAAAGATAGACTTTTTCTGTTTGTAAATATTTAAAATGAAAGAATTGTGTATATATTTTGTGAGAAGTAGAAAGATTGGTTTAAAACAGGATGTGAACAAATGACTTGTTATTAAAAATCACTAATCTGATCTGGTAGTGGCTGAAACTATGTCCACGTCTCCTTCGGGCATCTCCTTTAGGTGATGCCATGGGATTTGGCCTGGTGACTGAGGGAATAACTTTAGGGAGTGGACACTGGGTACAGTGCCACCTCCAGGCTCAGGAAAGTGAGATCTGGTTCTTTGTTCCTATCCCCTCAACCAATTTCAACCTGTGAACCAGAGAAGACTTGTTGGGGATTTTTGTCATTTTAAATCCTATTTCAAGGTTTATGAGCATAGAAAGTTATCCAGTGGAGAGCTACATCCCTGCCCCCCGCCCCCGCAAGTGAGTTAGATTATCTTCACACACATGCACACACGCACACACACTCCCTTCCTCCCTCTCTCTCTCTCTCCCCACTTCCCCCCACCGCCCCCACCTCTGGTACAATCTCCATTCTGAATAGCAGGGCTGAAGTCCCTTGGTCCTGTCTTAGCCTGGCTGCCCAGGAGCTGTAGAGAAGAGCTATGCCTCTAATTTTGACCCAGGAAACTCTGTGAGATTTTACTTGGGGCCTAATCAAGAACCTAATATGTTCCCCTGTGGGCTAAGGCCAAAAAGGTTGTGAACATACTAGGTTTCCTTATAATTATTAGCTAGAAGCTTTATGTCCAGAGGATGCCAAACAGTAGCAGACAGGCCTGGAACATTGAGCTTCATGTGATGATAGCAAGTTTTTTCAAATCTAATACAAGTGCGATAGTTTTCCCTTTAAATAATTCTGTAGGCCTAAAGAACCCTGGACTAGAAGGAATTATACCTTTATGTCACCTATATGTGTGCTGTGTTGTTCTTAGAATCAGTCTTTGGACAATGCAAAAGGTAAAAAAAATTATAAAACTTAACTATGCTGTAAGCCAAGTCAGGGAGAAGCTAGAGAAGTTTCATGGCACCGACTTCTAGTGGAGCTCATTTCCATTTTAGCTTTGTTCAAGTTGCCCTGTTAGCCATGTGTGTAGTTAAACACCCTTAACTACTTAAGGGCTGTTTTCTTTTTTTCATTTATATGATATTCAGCTTGGTGTTGGCTAACCTTGATTTTTTTTCCCTTAGAAGTATTAAAATTCAGTTAAATCAAGGTGAAGTCTTTTCCCATGAATGTGTCTGCTTACCTCATTATGGCTTATGCTTCTCTCTTTTTTAAAAAACATTTCCCTTGCCCATCTGACCTATTTCACTTTCTTGGAAATGTTGTAGTATAAAATTAGCCTGGCACTTTAGGTAATTTTAAGATTATTCTTCTGGCTGCCTTCCATGTCCCCCCACCTTTTTAAATATGTACACCCTTACAGATTTTGTAACAACATTCTAGCAATAAATTGAATTATACTGCTATATTTGTACATACTGTACCATAAATAGTATGTCTGTACCTGGAAGGTATTTTTTTGAGAACTGATTTATATGAAATATACTTGAGGGTAATGTAGCTTGTCCTTTTTAGATACAAATTCTTATTCATATAGGCAGATAGTTTGAGGACACCTTAACTCTTTGTTGTACTTTTCTTTTGTATCAGATATGGCTATCCATGGAGGAGTCAGTTTTGTTTTTCAGTTTATCATCTGTTTTCACCTCAAGCTTGTCTGGCTAGCCTCATCCCTGAGCCAGGTATATAGTACCATCCTCTCCCCCTACCACATTTGGCAGAGATGTTCCTCCTACACGCTCAGGTCTGTGAATACCCTTGTCACACTGCCTGGGAAAGTGCCTTATGTCCCAGACAGAAGTAGGGCATCTTGAACTTCTTTGTTCTCAATAGAGCAGACTCATGGCTTAAGAAAAGAGCCTCATAAATCTATTATTATTCAGTGTTAATTGGGATTTTATTTGTAAATTATCTTACTCAACCTATGACTTGCATTTAGCTGTCATCAGGCCTCACCTGCCATATCTTGGCTCTGAGAAGATGTTTGAGGAGAGGTGGTGAGTTTGGTTTTAGATTTTGTTTCAAATACTTTGCCTTTGTCACTCTGGCAGCTCCTACTGCTGCCTCCCTAAGTTTCCCATTGCTTCTTGGTTCTTTTTTCCTTTTGCCTTGTATTGTCTGGCATAATTATTTACTTAGAGGGCCTCCTTATAAATCAGAGGCAAAAAGGTATAGGAAGAGAGGAACCAAAAGAAGAGAGAACCCGGCTTAGGGATAACTATGGTGTCTTAAGGGCGGAGAAGGGCCTGGCACTTAGGAATGTGTCTGAAACAGCAAAGCTGAGGAGTGGACACCCTTCACCTACTGCTAGCTACTTTCCCTCCTGTTGGAGTTTCCTCTCTTTACGTTGCTGGACAGAAACCCGCCCGCCCCTCCAGCCCACCCCAACACACACCCAAGCGCACCCCTGCTGGTCTTTCGGTCACAGTTGAAGATTTTAACTGTGATGGGTTCATACTCATAATGGCCTGCTGTTGAGTTGTTTTTAGTGACAGCTTTCATTTAATACACACCTCATTGCCTTGCTTGCCAGCACCAGCTAGATGTGGTCCCTTCTTTCATATCCAAACCAGAACACATTTGGGTATTCCTGAGCTTTTATAGAGCCTGTATTGTTTTTTATACAAACCTAGCCTACCTTGTTGTTTTCTCACATTAAGAAATGTCAATCACTTTGCTTTAGTGGAGCTATTTTGGTAATGTATAACAATTTTGGTTCTGTTTTAGGGAGTGAATTCAAGGTTTCCATGACTTGATTTGAACTTTGTTTATTTCATATTAGTAAAACAACCATTTTAATTTATCTAAATAAAATATTTCCTTTTTCTTCCACTGTGTCTATGACTAAAGGCTCCCCATCTCCCCTGATTACTAAGGAAAAAAAATATTTTATATATTTATTTATTTATTTATTTATTTCTGCTTTGATCTCTATTTTTATGGACTCCTTCCTCCTTTTGAAAGCAAGGACTAACAAATGGATGGTGGGCACAAGTAATGTTGAAGAATCTGCCTGACAAACCACAGAAGTTGGCCTGAAGAAGTGAAGGCTGTTTCTTTGGCATCTTCAGGGTGGGGTGGGAGAGGGCAGGGAGAGGGACAAGTGAGTCCCTACCCTTGTATCAACCAGAGAAGCTCTAGTTATGCCTGCTTTATGTTTTGAGATTTAGTATGAGCATGTTTACAAGAAATGTCCCACAGCCTTTAAATAAAAGAAAAGAAAAGGGCTTGAAATCAATTGGAAGAGAGGGGTCTTATAGGGGTTGGGGCTTTTTCACACGAAGAAAAATAGATTAGCTCTACATGGTTGCTAAATTCTGAGATTACACACACACACACACATCTGGGTGGCCTTTCCCCTCAGGGAAGACTACATAAAGTTTAGGTCATTTGAGTATCTTACCAAATATGGTAAAATGATTTCCTTATTTCCAAAGCAAAAGGAAAAAATTTATATCCTGGGGCAGATCTGAGCTTTCTTACCTTTAAACTGGGACCAAATAGCCAATATTATTTTTGTGTCTCCAGACAAATTTTCCAGAAGGTACAAAAATTAATATTCTCGTGCAGTGGATTTTACCTATTGGAGGGGCCATGAAATCCTTTGAGAGGAAAAAAAAAAACTATAGATATACTTCTGTGTATAATTTTAGGGGGTTCTCTAAACAGCCTTTCCCCCAAGCCAATCCGTGGACCAAGTTAATTACACCCTACACACAAGAATTGTTTGCCAAGTGTTTTCAAACGACATTAGGGAAGGGACACCATGGTTTATAGTGGGAAGATCAGGAACTTTGATTCTGGGCAGATGTAAATGTGAGAACTTGCTCTGCAACATAAAAACAATATGGCAAATGTCCTTGAGAACTGTCTTCATCTGTAAAAAGAGGGTCATGATATGCATTTGGCAGTGTTCTTATATTAGAAATAATGTAGAGACAATCATATAAGAAGTCAGTACACATAGATGTTAATGAAGAATGTGATTCGGCCTGAAGTACAGTGTGGCTCATGGCTCTCACAATGAATTGTTTTGTCTGTGACATGGCTACTATGAATCGTCATAGCTCGTGCACCTTCCACATCTATCTTATAGCAGCTGTGCTTAATGTCCCACAGAATGGCAGTGCCTGTGAATACCTAGCCCAGGGTCTGGCATATGTTTTTGGTCCCAAATAAATATTGGATAGAGGGCTGTTGCGTTCATCACAAATACTGGTTCAGTGTGTCTTCCCACAGCCAACCCTCCAGTTCCCATTTGTGTTGGTGAGACTCAGTGACCTCACTTTGTTTTGCAAAGTGCCCCCATCAAACAGGGGAAGGACTTTGCCCTCCTAACAACAAACGAGACACCATGGAGCCTTGGACTTTTTTAAATTTTTCATAATGTGACATCCAGATGGGTCCTGGTCTGTGTCAATACCATCTCCCTGAATTAGCTCCATTTTCTGCTCTGTCCCAATACCTCCAGCTTCCACCATCAGAGGAGGCTACAGTTCTGAAGCAAAACGCTTGGCACTGAAGCAATGGTCCCCATGGGCCAGTGTGGGAAGGGAATAGAAGTGGGTGTTCCTTTCAGGACAGGTGGTTAAAGGGCAGGACACTGAGTGGTTCAGCATTGGGGGTAGGTTACACAGGGAGAGAGCAAAGGGCACCTCCTGAAAGACGGGAATCGGGAGTGGGGAACTGGCCTGGGGCCGCAGCATTGGGGAAGGTAGGGACTGTTGTGGGACCAGCTGCAATGCAGGTTGCAGGAGGACAGTGGCCTCCATGTTGGGGTTGCTTTCTTGAGCAGCATGGCTTCTACTTTCAGTGCTGTCCAACTCCCCCAGAGGATCTGAATTCTGGACCTCAGTCTCAGTCTTGGTGACAGAAGGTGGAGGACCTGTGTTGATGGCTGTGTTCATGCCATAGTACCTTCGCTTGTTAATCCAGTACAACAGTGGGCTGTAGGTGAATGTGGTGGCTCTCATCACCTCTACCCACTCCTGGGCACGCTTTTCCCGGCGCAGGTTCTTCCTCCAGTGCAGAAAGAGAATGCAACCACCAGTGACCAAAGAACACAGCCCCAGGAATCCAAAGTACAGTGAGACCCACACTAGGACAAGAAAGAAAGAGAGGCAAGCTGGCTTATAGCTCTAGCTTGGGGCCTGAGCTGTTACTCATTCTCCTTTTTAACCATTCACCAGTCATTCCGTCCACTTAAGCACTCTCTTCATTCCTTCCCTCTCTCCTCATTGACTTACCTCATCATTCTCTTATTTAGTCAAAGCTAGATTTCCAGTGAGTTTAAGAGGCCACCCCAGCCCTTTATAGATAAGGAAAGCTAGATTTGGGGTTGGAGAGGGGACATGACCCACGCTTAGTCAAGCCTCAGGTTCCCAGTCCTGGACCCATCCAATCTTCCTGATTAAGAACTCTCACTGAAGGCAGGGCTCACCAAGGAAGTAACAGTTTAACAGATGACAGGAACACCAGTGTCCCAACCCATTTGACCATACCCTTTACCCATTCGGTGGGTATGATGGTTCTAGCGTATTCAGAGTACCCCTATGCTCTCAAAGAATCCTTAGTTTTCCATAGCTTCCTTAGAGGAAACCATATCCTAACTGGTTAGCATTCTTCCATTCAGGCAGTCATCACCCCATCCATGCAAAAGGTGTTCCCTGAGTGTCTGTCCCCAAGCTAATGGCACAAAACAAGGAAAAGAGATTGGAGAGGCATTTACCATCAGGGAGACTCAGATCCTCCTGTTGGGGATCCATAAGTTCTAGCCTTGGTACCTGGCCGATGGCTCTGGGGAGAGGGAGCTCACCTACCCATCTGTCCATCCAATAGGAGTTCTAAGAATACCCAGATTCCACTGTTCCCTAAAGGTGAGGTCACTAGGTTCTGAGCATTGAGCATTCCAGGGGTGGTGTTTGTGAAGTCTTGGATTAACAGAAAGTACTCTATCCAATGACATCATAGTGTATGTCTACTGCTTCTGTCAGGGACTCACCCACCCACTGAATTGTCTCTTCCCTCGCCCTTATGGTGAACCCACAGAACAGCCCCCAGGAAAGGGCCCCAGGTTCTCGGAGGCTTTAAGGAGCAGTTGTGGAGGGATACCTGTCCCCAGTGAGGAGCACACACACAGCTGTGGACAGTCCTGCCAGCAAGATATCTGACCAAGTTGTTAGGCAAAAACCTGCTCAAGTGATTGATGGCTCTTTCCTTGTCTCTTACAATCTCTCTCTTTTGTTACTTTCCTTCAATGAGTAGCATTTCCTGGGCACCAGGCCATGTGGGAGCTACCCACCATCTGGCCCTATATCTCTTTCCAACCTCACCTTTCTCCCAATCCTTCACATACCTTTCCCTTTTGATCAGGCCAGACTCCTTAACAGAGCCTGCTTATTCACATCTCTGGAGTTTTGCTCACACTGCTTCTCCACCTACAAGTGCCCCTCCTCACTCTTCCCCACACTGCATACCTGCTTATCCTTCAATGCTCAGCTCAATCCCCCTACTCCTGACAAATAATTGTTTCAATCGGCTTCCTAGAATTCATCTCCAGTTCCAAGAGGCTTTGAGAGTTGTCTAGACCAATTCCTACCTCCCATTAAGCCTGAAGGTACATCTCCCCGACCCAGCAACTAATTCCCTGGAACTTGCTTGGGTCAGGGACTTGCTTACACTTCCTGAGGCAGCTTGATTCATTTATGGGCAGTTCAGTTAGAAAGCCCTTCCTGATTAAGCCCAGGTTAGCCTCCCCTACTACCCTGGACCTAACTGCTTCTTGGCACCATTTAATTATTTCCCTCTTTATGGTCCCCCAACACGTGATTTCTCTCCAGCTTCCACCTACCTGGCTCTCCTACCTAACTGGCTCCTGCTTTTCAGTCTCTTTTGCTAGTTTCTCCTCTTTTCCCTGATCTCCAAATGTTAGTGTGTCCTAGGGCTCAGTCCTTTGTCCTCTATCTACATTCATTACCTCAGTGATCTCATTCAGACTCAGTTTTAAATATCGTATACACACTGACAACTCACAACTTTGTATCTTCAGCCCAGACTGCTACTCAGAACTTTAGACTCATTCACCCAACAGCCTGGTTGGCATCTCTATTTGCCAGTCTATTAACTGATCTCCAACTAAAACATCCAAAACCAAACTCCTGATCATCTACCTTTCAAAACCTATTCCAGCCTTTCTCCTCTCTGTAAATGACAACTCTATCCTTCCAATCTTTCTGGTCAAAAGCCTGTAAGTCATCCTTTAGTCCTTTCATTCTCTCACATCCATGTTCATTCACTCCATTAGCAAAATCTTTAGGCTTAGCTTTCAAAACGTACCCGGAATCTGACCACTTTCCCATCAGTATCATCTTATTCTAAGTACAACCATCTCTCACTTAGATTATTGGTGTCCTTGTAGGATGACCAACCATCCCAGTTTGCCTGAGAGTAAAGAGGTTTCCAGGATGTAGGACTTTCAATGCTAAAACCAGGGAAGTTCCACTTAAACCAGGACAAATTGGTCACCCTTGGGAGAGTTTCCATCCTTGCCCCTGCCCCATGCCTTATATTCCACCAGCAGCCAGAATGACCCTTTAAAAAAGTAGATCATGTTACTACTTCTCTGCTCAGATCCTACCATGACTGCCCATCTCACTCAGATTTAAAACCTAAGTCTTTAACTAAGGCCTACAAAGCCCTGGGCAATCTAATTATGCCTCCCTATACCTCCTTCACACAATAACCTCCTTGCTGTTCCACAAGCAGAGCAAGCATTTTCCTGCATCAGGGCCTTTGCACTTGCCATTCCCTCTATCTGGAAGGCTCTTCCCCCAGATACCCGTAAAGATCATTCCCTCACTTTCTTCAAGTCTCTGCTCAAATATCCTCTATCTCTACTCTCTTAGTTCACTTTTTTTTTCCTGAATAGCATGAATCATCGCCTAACATTATATATGTATTTATTGTCTCACCCCACTAGAATGTAAGCTCTCTGAATAAATGTAAGCAAGGAAATAAATACCTAAGAATTTCAGATAGTCATAATTGCTACGAAGAGACTAAAATAACATAATGGGATAAAGAATATAAGGGATAGTGGGTACATCAAAAAAAGTCCCTTTGGGGTACCAACTTATGAACTGAGCCCTAAATAATGAGAATGCAGCCGCATGCAAATCCAAGCGTAGGGATCAGCCAGTGCAAGGAAACTGAGGCAGATATAGGCCAGCACACTTGAAGGACTTACTAACCTCACAGTCCATCCCACTTTCCCAGGACAGGGTTAATCTCCATGAGTGTAGGTTGTATTGAGTAGAGTTGAAGGCTCTGTCCCTGCCCCTGAGGGGCCACCATTCAGGAGGGGTTTTTATTAAGTAAGACCCAAACTGAATGGACTTCCATTGAGGCAAACTGATCAGTGCCATTGCAGAGGGCCTGTCTCTAGGCCTGGCCATGTACTGGGAGAAGGCGATGTTGACACAGGAGATGTCGATGTCACTGTCTCTTACCTCAGGAGTTCACACATGATTCAGGACAGTCAAGAAAATGGTGGCAATGGGTTAAGACAGGAAGGAAAAAGCATTCCCTTAGGGATCAAAAATAGCCTAAATAAAAATTTGTCAGGACAAATCCAGGTGTCTCTTCGGGGAGGACAATAGTTCAGTTTGGCTGGAGTTCAAGGTGGAAGTCAGGAAGCAGAGGAAGACAGGGCTTCGGAGGCACCTGGCATCTTGAAAAGAGTTCAGGCCTCAGTAGAACTTGGAAACGTATACTCACTCTCAGCCTCAGTTTCCTAATCTGTAAAATGAAGAAAAATCTGTCTTACAGGATGTGAAGCAAATAGTGTCCTGCACATAGAAACACTCAGTAAAGAGAAGCTGCTCCTGTGATTACAGTTGATGAAAGGAAGAATGCTGAAGGAAGACTACTAGAGTTAATGCCAAGAGAATTTATGAGCAAGCTCGGTGAGGACCAGCAAATCGAGCGGCTCTCAAGAGGAGACTTGGAGAGCAGAGGCTACTGGTCCGAGCCCGAGGGCGTGAATCCGGGCAGGCTCCTGTGGCACACGGAACCGCAGAGTGCTTGGGCAGGACCTGAGCATTGAGCCTCTTTTGCCCCGCCCCGCCCCGCTTGCCCTGTCCCGGCGCCCGGAACTTTGGGCGCGCGGAACCTCCGCGTCGGAACGCGGGCGCGGCAGACCCGGAGCGTGATGGAGCGGGCGCGCGGGCCGCGGGCCGAGGCCAACACACCCGAGGACGAGGAGGAGGCGGGGGCGGTTATGGCTGCCGTGGTGGCAGCCGCGGGTGGCACAGGTCCGGCCGTCATGCAGGTGGCCGGCCTCTATCGGGGCCTGTGCGCAGTGCGCAGCCGCGTCCCGGGCCTGGGGCTCGTGTCACCCGCTCAGCTGCGCGTGTTCCCGGTGCGCTGCGACTCGGGCCGGCCTGCTGGGGGTACCGACGACAACAGGGTCGGGACCGAGCTCGAGGCCAACCCCTTCTACGACCGCTATCGCGACAAGATCCAGCAGCTGCGCAGGTGCGGGCCCCGGCGGGCTGGCGGTGGGCAGGGAAGAGGGGCAGCGCGCGGCCTACGTTTTCGATGTGACTGGCGTTTTCAGTGCTTCCAACAGGCCAGGGAAGTGGGTGGCGTTATTACCGCCCCTACTCTACAGATCATATATATAGGTTCAGAGAGGCCAAGTCAGTTGCCTAATGTCCACACAACTAGTGTCAGAGCTAAGAGATTCTATAAAGTCCTGGCTCTTTTCCCAGTTGTCTGTTGTCTTGGGGCTCTAATTCTCAAAATGCTGAGGTAGACTCATGATGACAGTCTTTATGAAGCAGGAAGCTCTAAGACACCCATCCTCACTAAAGAAATGGGAAAATGGAGCTTTCCAGAGAAGGGCCTTGACTTACTGAAGGTCACATATTGAGTCAGCTGGCCTAGAACTGGTGTCCCCAAGCTCCTAGCTAGAGTCTTGACTGCAAGGAAAGAAGATTGGAGGTGGGAGCAGAGCATCAAAGACCAGTAGTTTTACAGTTAGATCATCAATCGAACACTCATTAAGATGAGAAAATTGAAGATCAGATTAAGAAATCAACCCAAGGTTACACAGCTGGCTGGGATTCACCTGACTTGGAATCCAGGTTCCTAACACTACCCTTCTGCTTCCAGATGAAAGGACCTGGAGATTAGAGGAGGTTGAGGTGGGTCTGAAGAGTTCAAGTGGAAAGAGCTGAAGGAGATCAAAGGTGAAAATTACAGGGGCTTGGGAGAGAATTTGGCAGGGTGGGCAGGCAGTTGTCTTATGAAAGGAAACCAAAGACTGAGTCCTGTAACTTCTTTGAGTTCTGTCTCATCTGTTTCCACAGCCTTAGTTTACTCCATCATCTTCACCTAAACTCTTGCTGTCATCCTCTAACTAGTCTCCCCCACTTTCAGTCTTGGCTCCTTCCTCCCCTCTATCTCACTGTTACTTTCTTCTCTTTTTGAAAGAATGGTGGAATAAATAAATGAATATTTTTGCTGTCCTTCTAACAGCATCAAATATACTCATATATTTGTCATCTTAATAACCTTTCTTTGACCTACATTCCCTTTCAGCCTTTTTTCATTGTTTCTTTTTACAAACAGGCATCTCAGAAGAGCTGTCTGTTCATACACTGAATACTTCACAGCTCCCCTTCGTTCTCACTCATGCACTAGTTAATGACTGGTTCTACTCTCCTTCCCTACTAGATTATTACCATCAACATTTACATGTACTGCTATCTCCTGAAGAGTGAGCTTTCCACTGACTTCTGGACAGTGTCCATATTCCTTAGTGTTCCACAGAAGGCTCTCATTCTGTGAGCCTTGTCTCTAGTTTTATTACCAAAATTTCCTTTAAGCACTATGGTCTAGCACAAAGGGATACAGGAATGTGGTTGGGGAGGATGTTCCAAGTAAGGGGAGCAGCAGCAGCAAAGGTACAGAGGCATTAAACTACCTCACCATTTGAGGCAAATTTTCATCATAACACCTTTAGCACTTTACTTATTTACATGTCTTTCTCTCACACTAGATAGTAAGTTCCTTGAGGCAGGAACTCTGTCTTATTTATTTTTGTATCCCCAGAGCCCAGCAAGGTAAGCAACAGGCAGGAGACAACAAGTAAAATTTGTTGGATGAATGAAAATGAGAGGGAAAGGGTAAATCCTAGAAGCGTCTGAGTGAGACAAGTTGGGGAGGTGAGAGATGGGAGATAGAAAGCTGGGTGGATCCAAAAGGAAGAGCTGAGGTTGAGGCAGATAAAAAGGAAAATAAGAAAGTAGGATCAAAAAAGGATCAGTAGAACCTGGGCCAAGTTAAGGGAAGAGGCAAGAGAGGGCCCGGCCTTAAGGCCCAAAACCAAACAGGTAGGATATCATGAGATATTTTAAAAGGAATTACAGTCCTGATTGGTTAGTGCTGGGGCATATTCACTAAAACCTGGGCTCTGGAAGCACCAGCCACAGGTTTGGTGTTAGCCAACAGCAGGACAAGGCTGTGTGCCCTGCTGACTCCACCCCAACCCAGAATCTGGATTTTTGCATCACACTCTGCATTGGTGAATTGGGAAGATTTGATCTAGCTCCAGGCCAACTGTATCTAGGATGTGGACCAACTGGAGGTTTTCCAGAGAGCAGATCCACAGTGAGAAAAGATTCATAAGTCATATATATGAAAAGGTGCCCAGGAAAATAAAGAAATTTAACCAAGAGAAGAGAAATTTAGGGGATGACATAATAGTGATTTTCAAATATTCATATAAAAGGAATTAGACATTTTCTCTTGTTCCTGGGGGCAAAAGATACAGAGAAATAGATTTAGGCTCAGAACGTTTTAATAATAAAAGATGTCCAAGGCAGGAATGTACAGATCCCACTGCCTAAGCCATCCCTCATTCTCTCCACTCACCATGGAGGCTCAGGTATGTCTGTGGAAACCAGCAACACTGACTCTTGTCCTGGCACTTGTAGTCCTCGCAGAACAGTTGCCACATCCCACTGGGAAGGATCCCTGAAGCAACTTTGCACCAAGGAGCTGGCCCACTATGGAAGGAAAGAAGATACACTCATGTACATGGCAGTGAAGGGAGTGGTTTTCGATGTCACCTCTGGAAAGGAGTTTAATAGAAGGTCCTCAGGACTCCATCAGAGAGGTGAGCAAGATTCTTTGGATCTTGCAGGTATCACCCATGACACTACAGATCTCATGGCCAAAGAGCTGGAGTCCCTGTATAATGTCTTCTCCAAAGTATACAGAGCCAAATATCACATCATCTGCTACACAGCCTAAAGAATTCTTAACAAGGACGGCAACCCCAACCTGAACTTCAGACCTGAAGAATAACCCCATTTTGACATAAACGACAAGTTCTAATGTTCCATGTGCAGAAGCAGGTTCTTTGGAAGAGAGTCAGAGAGATACTCAGGTGCTAAGTTTTCTCCTGCAGATAGGCTACCTGAAACCTCTTGAGTTACCTGCTTCTAAATAAACAGATGTTTAACCTGGGAGTTGGTGGGGGAGAAGATGTTCAAGAACTAGACATATCCAAGTAAAACACCTAGTAGGTATGCTACTGGATTCTTGCCTGAGGAAGTAACAGCAATATGGCTCAAAGTCCCCTTCCCATCCTGAGGATTTGAACTCCAGTACCCAGAGTGTAAGTACCTGAGAGACCAAGCTCTATGTGGATATCCTTAGGAATATCCTGCAGCAAAAAAATGTTACATAGGCCTCTTGAGGATTAACAATAGTTGAATAACAGATTTATTTTTCTACTTTCTTGATTCGTAGGCCTGTGCTCAGGCATAACTGAGGGCAAATCCTTCAGCCTCTGAATAACCTCTCTTTGAAAGTGGAGCATGATGCTTTGTTCTTTCCAAATGTGAAATGGCCCAAGTGGTTTAACTTTTGGTTGACCTTTGATCAGGTCTGACCCAGCTGCTTTTGAGTCCCGACTGGAGAAGCGCATTGAGTTTCAGAAGCAGCCAGTGGGGCACTCCAGGCAAGGTGACTTCATCAAATGTGTGGAACAGAAGGTAAGACCTGGCCCTTTTTGTGTTGGCTTACCAGTGCTCTGTATCCCCACTCCCAACCCTAATCCTGGGAGAAGCTCATTGATGGGTCAGCTAGATAAACTGAACATAGCCTCTCTCTACTTAGCTCAGTCCCCATCCATAAATGGTATCCCGCTTTTACTGGTAAATTACTGTGGTCACGGTGCAGATATAGAGGGATGGAAAAGGTAGTCACTGCACCTAGGGGTACATTTGAGCAATCAAGGTAAGGCATACATGGCAGAAGGCTGTAGAGATCAGGGGGCAAAAAAGTGCTTAATAGCTGTTATTGTCCTTAAATAAGAATCAAAGCTGGAGAAAAGCATGTTGAAAGCTGTGAATAGGAAAATTAATCTAATGCAGTACTTTTCAAACTTTTTGACCATGACCCCCCCAGTAAGAAATATATTTTACATTGTAATTCAGTACGCAAATATATGATTATAACTGAAACAAAATGTTTACAAGACAATGCTTTTGCTATATGTAATGTACTCATTATTTTTTTTTATCTCTTTAAAAACTTTGGCCAATTCAGTAAATTGATCTTACAACCTATGACTTGAAAAATACTAATCTAAGATGATGCATAGAACAAACTGGAGTAAGAGAGGCCAAAACCAGAGAGAATGTGCAATAATCCAGGTGTGAGCTGTATGTCTGAAATAAGAGAGTTTCAAGGGAAAATTTGGGTTCTACATTGTGTTTTAAAATGAGAGATGTTTATTTTACTTGGAGAATAACCTTTTTTGATCTTGAATTTTTTTTTTTTTTTTTTTTTTTTTTTGCTTTGGGTATCCTGATGTTTAAGAGAATCCATTCAGTCTTTTAATAACTGGTTGAGTTAATTAGAATAAGAGCAGTAGTCAATGGGTTAATCATTAACAAGGTTGGAGAGCAAATCCAACCTCCTATGACAAATATAGTTTACAACTTTGTGTGACCAAACAACTTCCTGCTACAAATATTTTAACAAATATAATTTCCTATACTAAACATAATATCAAGGTCATAAGTCAATAATAGCTCTTAGAAATATTACTGTGTTATAAACTTTAAATTTATATGGGAAAGCTCTTGCCCCTTTTCGTAAATAGACTTAGAATTTCAACTTTTTAATAAAATGTAGAATTTAAATTATGGCAACACTTAGGTAAATATTTACTTACCGTCTTTCTTATCTAGCTAGATAGAGGAAGGCTAGTGGCTAATGACTCTATTCCCAAAGTCTTATCTTTACTTTGAGTCATGGGTTCCTATCACAGGAGACGCAACATCCTCTTTTTATAATAAAAGTTTTTAAATTCTCTTTTTTTACTCTGAAATGTAGACAATATAACCGACCTGCACACATAATTTATGGGGGTGGGGATTGGGGGACAGTGTCAATATAATTCTCAACTATAATATAAATGAAAGTATTTTTTAGTAAAATACATATGTTAGTATGTAAGTTCTTGAGCACAACTATGCTTTGAGACCTAATGCAGTCATCAGATGCCTCCACCTATATGTGGAATCACCATGAATACATAAGCAGCAAATGCTGACTGGTATAGGGGCATTGTGTTGGTAATTATAAAAACTTCCAAACCCTGAGCAGTATGGTTATCGGTGACCCTTATGAGATTCCACAATGTACAATTTTCTCTCAAGTTATATAGGTACGTTTCTGAAAATTTCAATATTTACCGTGGTTTCAATTATCATTTTAATTACCTTATTTCACAGGTTCTAAAGTCTACATTTTTTTCACATTTTAACATCTCTGAAATTGTCTTAAAAATAATATGAAATGAAAATATTTGTTATTGTTTAATTGGCATCATTTTCTGATACATAAAATAATGGTGCTTAAGATCACTGGTGTCTTAGATAAAATGCAATAAGCTTATACTTGGCCCTTAAATTTTTATTTCTCTAAGTTAAAATGGAAATGAACAATGAATTGGAGGGACATTGTGGGAAAAGAATACACTAGGCTTGGTGATTGAAAGGTGAAAGCAGCTGTGCAAATGGAGGGTTTTGTTTGTTTTGTTTTCACAGTACACCTGAAGGTGAGTGGTATGAAAATGAAATCAACTTTTTCTTTGTTGGACAGTTTACATATGAAGGAAAGACTACATTAAAGTGCTGCCACAGTATAGGGGTATGACCAAAAAGACCAGGGTGTATCCAATAGGTTTTTCTACACTGGGCTTTTGTCTAATTTGTAGGTACGAGTTCTATGGGCATCATTTATCAAAGGTTTGGATTCATTAAAGCACAGAGTAATGAAGCCAGGGTTTTATGCAGAAAATGTTTTTCAGCTTCGGAATCCCAGGTATAGGTTGTACTCCTTCATCTGAAAGGCATAGTCTTGAACTAAGAAACTTTAGTGGAAGTCTCAGAACAGCCCATCCCCACTGTCAGAAACAACTCAAAATAGGATTTCCTGACTGTGGCCTTTATCAGAGGTAGGGGCCTAGCAGAGAAAATAATCACTTTCAGTTGTTTCGCGCCTTTTGGGTGGGGAGTCTAACTTGATGGAATATTAAAACCGAGTATTGGAAAAAACTCCATAGTCTGCTGAGGATGTCTGCTGTCAAAAGTGCTGTCACAGAAGCAGCCTTGGAAAATAACATCTTTCCATTTCTTACCTTCTCTATGGCTCACTGTGGAGCAGATCAGAGGACAGAACACAGGAAATCCAAGCAGCCCCAGTTCTGGGAAGGAGTCCCTCATATCCGTAGTCACAGATATAGAATGGACTCTCAGTATTAGTAGATGCTGATTACTACCAAAGGAATCCTTTCTCATTTCTGTATCTCAGAAGCTTAGTCAAAGAAAAATTTTCTCACAAACAATAACTCTTAGAAGAGCGTGTACAGTTACTATACAGATTGGAGAGAAGTGAGTTCTTAGGTGCAAAATTATTAAATGAGATATTGGACTCCTCACCTACCTTGGTGGTCTTTTTCTTCTGGCTAAAGTATAGACTAATATCCTGTCTATCATGTATTTCAGGCAGAGACCTTGGGGAAACAGTCTATGAGCAGAGGATTCACTAAGGACAAGGTAGGTTTCTAATTAAATATCCAAGTCTGAAGCCTCATGTAACATCAATAACAAGAGGCTGCAAATTTGAACATATTTACTGTGGTTCAGTGATTTTGTGACTTACCAGCTGTGGAGATGAGAAATATTTCTATGAATTTTTGTGTCCTTGATGTAACCCTTAGCATAGTGTGGGTCCTGGGGATACTAGAGGAAATATGAAGGAAATATAGTGATACTCTTCCTTTCTATGGGAATTAGTTTTTAAAAATCAAATAAAAACATATTTACTCTGTCATTTAATTTGCAAATAAGGGGTCACTCCCGGCATATTAGCAGTTAAAGATAACAACCAAACTTTCTCCTCTTACTATTTGCAAAGTGCTGCAGTAGTCATTGGGAGGATGAAGTACATACAGATGCTCCCAGGAATAGAACTGCGAAAACCTGCTTGGGCTTGGGGGCTCACTTCTCTGAGCAGGCAGGTTTCTTCATACTTGTTTTCTACTTATTGAAGATCTGCTTCACTGTCCTGATGTACTGCTTCCCACAAGCCTTACAAATAGAGTTAAGCTGTTTTATTTTTTTAATTGTGGGTGTTTATTGCCTTTTATTTTCTCTTTCAGACTCTCAGTTCAATCTTTAACATTGAGATGGTAAAAGACAAAACTGCAGAAGAAATAAAACAGGTAATGAAAGAAAATGGATTGGCATATTTGAAATGTGTGCTCTGTGAACCAAATCTGAAAGTAGAAAGGAGCATACATTTCCTGACACCTCTTTCTAGCCAGAATGAAAGGTGGTCATAAATAGCAAAAGTGATGAATTACATGAAAAATAGTGACATAATAAAACTTGTCTTTCTCAGTCTCACTCCTGTATGTCCTATCAACTCCCATTTCCCCTTTCTTTTTCATTCCTGTTGCCCACATCTTATTTAAAATCATCGGCACTCAATACCTGGATTACTGTACTTCCTTTCTAAATAGGTTTCCCTGTTCTCATCTCCCACTCCCCCTCTCATATCCTTACCACTTGGATCCTCTTAAAGTTCAGCTTTCATAATGGAGAAGCATAATTTATTGGTTAAGAACACAGACTCTAGAACCAAGCTGCCTGCTTTAAGTCCTAGTTCTGTCACTTATTAGCTGACTGACTTTGATAAGTTAGTTAACCTGTCTGGGCCTTAGTTTCTTTATCTGTTAAGTGGAGATAATAATAGTGCTTACCTCATAGTTATTTGGGGAATTAAACTAGTTAATATTTGTAAAGCATTTAGAACAGTGCCTAGCACAAAGTGTTATATTTGTGTTTTTAAATAAATGAATGAAAATAAGTATTACATTAGTAACCTGCTTACAAATGTTCAGTGATTTCCCATATTCCTTTGCTCGACATTCAGACTCTCCATTATTATAAGACCTTCTGCAGGAAGCTTCCTGGACACTTTCCTTCAAAGCAGTCTTGATCTCGCCTGCCTGTTTGGTCATTCTGTATATGCTGATTTGCATTGCTATTTAAATTTTCATGTTTGTTATTCTTTTCTCTAAGTAGACTATAATAAACTATTTATTCCCATTCCTTAGAGTTCCATGAATTGTATTTTAACTATATTGAGAGAATCAGAATAATAAAAGCAATATGCTATGTGTCCGGTACAGTACTTAGTGTTTCATATAAACTATTTCATTAAATTCTTACATCCACTTTGTAAAGTAAGTGCTATTATTCCCAATTTGCCACTGAGGAAACTATAACATAAAGAGATTAAGTAGCTTAATTAGTGGTAGAGCTGTGACTCAAACCCATGTCTGACTCTGCATCATATTCCCTATTGGAAATTGTGCCATTTGCAATGGTTCTCCTTTGGGGACTATATCGTTCCTTTCAGCAGGCATTTAATTTATCAAATACCTGTTAACTGCCAGACTCTGTGCCAGATATGGAAATAAATGAGAGATCTACTCTCAAGGAGTTTTAGCCTTGTGGAAGGACAGATACAAAAATAAGAACAGCACGGGTTTCTAATGTCTGTTAATAGAGGCTTATGCAAAGTCTCAAGGAAACCTCAAACTGCCTTTGGGAAGAAGTGGGGAGAGAGAAGCCAGGCCTAGGAGTCCCGAGCATATGACACATACCATTTAGACCTATAAATTTAGATACAAATTTGTGTTTATTAAAGCAATTTTGAGTAACCAAGGTCAACTATGTTAGGAAACATCTGACAGTCTCATATATTTCAATGTTGTTTCATGAACTATCTATTAATATAAGTTAAATAAAAATAAGCAGGATATGCTGTTCTTAAAATGAGAAGATAATGTTTTGACATGAGAAAAAGAAAACAAAACAACTTAGGCTGCATTGATAGGGTGATTTGTCCAAGTCCTAGGAAGTAATAGTCCTCCTGTGCTCTTTGTTGGTGAGATCACACTTTGACTAGTGTCTTCCATTGGGGCCCCCCATTTTTTTTACACTCCTTTTTCTTTTCTTTTTAATGCTTACAGCACTTGGTATTTCTAGGCGATCTCCCATTGAAGTACTAACCAGGCCTGACCCTGCTTAGCTTCTGAGATCAGACGAGATCAGGCACATTCAGGGTGGCATGGCTGTACACAGAGCCCTCCATTTAAAAAGGAATGTTATTAACAAAGCAGAGCAGCTCTTATGGAGGGTGACCCCATTCTCCACACTAGCTCACTCTGTGTCACTTTGGCTATGATACCTTCTCCTACTTATATGCCTTTGCTAATACTGTCATTCTCTGCTTAGAATGCGTCTCTTCTGTCTTCCCAGCCTCCCTGTTCACCTGGCTAACTCCTGATCATTTTTCAAGATATACCTCAAGTGTCCTCTCCTCTGGCACTTATTTCCTAGCTTGGGTTAAGGGCCTCTTTGTTGCCCTCAGAGCACCATGGCTCTGGTTGGCATTGTAATTAATTCTGTTGTGCTAAGCACAAACCTACATTATTTCAAGCAGTCTTCACAACAGTCCTGTGAGGTTGATATTATCACTATTTTATTCGCGGTTATATTGATATTATTTAGTGATTTTTCAGTAATTTGCTCAAAGTAGCATAGCCAGAAAATGCTTGCAGCTGGGATTTGCATCCAGGTCCACCTGACTCCAGATCCTGGGTTCTGAATGACGGATGTCCTGCTCTCTGAGAAGGCCCACAGCTGGCTGGAGAGTATGGGTTTTGGGAGGGAAGAGAGAAGATATGAAAAAAAGAGCTTGTCTATTACATACAAGGCACATCTTGAGAGAAATGATTAACAAAGTCATAGAATCTATCTTTCTGACAGGAATTTGCTAAGAGTTGCAGTTTAATCATCTAAAAGAGTAGACAATATTAAATCTTTTTTGTAATCATGTACTAGTAATAAAAGCATTATGTTGGGTTTTCCTCCCCGTTATCAAATAGCATATTACTCTGAGCAATGAAAGCTGTCACCATTTCTTGGCACAGGTGGAAAAGATTACCAGCATGTCACAGACATACTCTTTTTTTTGTACAGATTTGGCAGCAGTATTTTGCAGCAAAGGATACAGTCTATGCAGTTATTCCTGTAAGTAGTTTGGAGGGGAAAATGAGAGTGTTATAGCATGAAGGTCAGGTCTCTACCCTTAGCAGGCAGTCGCCTTTACTTTTCCTATGTTTATTGCCTCTTGAGAACTTACATTTATAGCTCTGAGGGTTTTTATTATGCCCTGAGCACTAAAGATTGGAAGCTCCATATGGTATATTTATGGCTCTTGTTTTCCCTCTTTCTGGTTTAGAAATGTCTCTTTGAGTCAAGTCTCTGACAAGGGAGCATGTTGTAAGTTCACATTGCTGAGTAATTTCCAACCTTCCGATTTCCAAGTCTTTTATTTCTTTTTGGTGTTTTCGAAGCCATTGGAATTTAACACAGGGCCTCTAGCATAGCTTTCTTCCCTGCTTGTTTGTAAGTGACCTGTGTCTGAGCTGACTTAGAGCCTCCTCCTGGTCTTTTTCTGGCATTTCCCCTTAGCAAGTGGTATTTTCTTGTTTTTTTTTTTTTTTCCTTCCCACCTTCTTGAAATTGCTGTCTTGGAGATAGTTACTAGCCATTGCTTGACCATTGAGATATGTGATTTGGGAAGGGGTACTGCTGGCTTCCTCTGGTTTAATGTTCTTCTGCTGACTTTTACCATAAGAAAGCATTTGATGTACTGGGTTATTGGCTAGTTTTTTTAATTCATCTTCCCTGAAGAGGAAGTATCTTAGGTTAAGTTTATATCAAGCACATAAATATATACTAAACTTAGATGTGTATGTATAAGATTAAGGAGGAAAACTTACAAAGAGAAAAATAAAGCCAGTCTTCTGGTTGTCATGAGAGTATTGCTATTTTTTTTTCTACCTCTTATACATATATACCCTTGCCCTTCATAAGTTCAACAGCCAAAAAATCTGCACTTTTCATGATATTTTAGATGTCTAACACTGGCTCATTGTTCAAACAGGCCTTTTTAGCCTTCCCTCAGACAGACTTAGTGACTTGATGTCTCTGACACTTGACAGAGTCCCATGGAGAGTCTGGAACATTTGGAGTATACACTCTTCACACACAATTCTGACATTGAACAGCAGAGCATACATATGGTTTTTCCTCTCTGTCATAAGAGGGATTTGTAAATGCTGGAACTTAAGAGATCATTTTAGTTATATTTTAGTTCTAGAGTCATTTTGGTAAATTTAAATGTGGTTCTGTCCTTTTACGTTTTCTTGTTTGTGAATTTTATTCTTTTCTAACCTACAGGAAGAGAAGTTTGATTTGATCTGGAACCGAGCTCAGTCCTGTCCAACAGTAAGTTTCTGGTGACTATATAAGGATTACTTATGAATACTGCCAAACAAGGATATAATAAATATAAAAAATAAATTTACAAATATTAACCAATCTCTTCATGTTCCAAACAATCTCAGGTTATAGTGCTCTGTTTATTTAACAAAGATGCTCATATTTTGATTGTACTGATAACTGAGATTTTTTTAGCCTTATGAAATCCTGTGAGTTTGGCCCAATAAGTCACTGGCTTTTTAGATACATCTCAACCCTTTCTGATCTGGACCTTAATCTGTCTGTATAAGTGAACGTTAGATGCAACACCTTAGACCTTAATATTTTCAACCTCCTTTAAGTGTCTGTTTTATTGGCAATTTTCAGTTTTGGCCATACTATTCTATTTATTTGTGCCTAAAAGGAATTATGAGATTGTTGCTGAAGTAATGAACTACCAGAATACCTAAGGGAAGGGGAATTTAATCAGGTGGACCAGCTGACTTGTTGTTGGTAATAATTTCAAGGGTTCTCTAAAAAAGTTTCAGACATTGCTGAGAGAAAATAAAAATATCTAAGTAAATGGAGAAATATACCATGTTCATGGATTAAATGACTCCATATTGTCATTTCTCCCCAAACCAATCCATAGAATATAATTACAATCAAAATCTCAATAGGCTTTTCTAAAAAACATTGACAAGCTGATTTTAAAAATTTGTATATTCAAAGGACCCAAGATAAAAAACAACTTGAAAAAAAAACAAAGACTTACATTACCTGATTTCAAGACTTATTATAAAGTTACATTAATGAAGACAATATGGTATTGGCATAGAGATAGACATATAGATCAGTGGAACAGAGTAGAGAATCCAGAGGTAGACCAACATATGTGTGGTCAGTTGCTTTTTGGCAAATGTGCCAAGGTAATTAAATGAGGAAAGGATAATCTTTTCAACAAATGGTGCCAAAAAATGGATATCCATATGTAAAAAAAAAAAAAAAAAAGAACCTCTACTCTTGTCTCATACTATATCCAAAAATTAACTCAAAATAGATCATAGATATAAATGTAACTTCTAGTAAAAACAATCTTAGATTGAATCTTAGTGGTTTTAGTTTTAGCAGCTCAGATTAAATCTTAGTGGTCTTGGATTTAGCAAAGATTTTTTAAGTACATCATAAAACGTACCAACTATTAAAAGAAAAAAGTCAGTAAATTAGATTTTATCAGAATTACAATTTTATATTTGTGTACCCATGTTCATAGCACTATTAGTCACAATAGCCAAAAAGTAGAAGCAACCCAAATGTCCATTAAATGATGAATGGATAAACAAAATGTGATGTGTATGTGTGTGCATGTGTGTATATATAAAAGAATATTATTCAGCCTTAAAAAGGAAGGAAATTCTGACACATGGTACAACACGGATGAAACTCGAAGACATTATACTAAGTGAAATAAGCCATTCACATATATATGAAGTATTTAGTGCAGTCAAATTTATAGACAGAAAGTAGAATGGTTGTTGCCGGGGACTAAGGGGAAAAGGATAGGAAGTTATTGTTTAATGAACTGGAGTTTCATTTTGGGATGATGAAAAAGTTTTGATGATGAATGTGGTGATGGTTTCACAACATTGTGAATATTTAATGCCACTGAATTGTATACTTAAAAATAGTTAAAATGTTAACTTTTATGTAATATGTATAAAAAATTAAAATTTTTTACTTTTCAAAAGACATTGTTATGAAAATAAAAAGATAAGCCACAGACTGGGAGAAAGTATTTGCAAGACATATATTGACAAATGTCTTGTATCTACAATATATTAAAAACTCTTACAACTTAAAATAAGAGGACAGGCAACCCAATTTAAAAAATGGCAAAAGATATGGATAAGTCACTTCACCATTATACTGAGTAGAATGGCACATAAGTACCTCAAAAAATGCTTGGCATCATTAGTCATAATGGCAATGCAAATTAAAACCACAGTAAGATACCACTAGCAAGACTGAAATTAAGAAGATCATACCAAGTGTTGGTAAGGATATGGAGCAACAAGAACTCTGGTAAGAATGTAGAATGGTATGACCACTTTAGAAAACAATCTGACAGTTTCTTTAAAAGTTAGGCATGTACCTGCCATACTACTGAGCCATTCTATCTTAGATATTTTCCCACAAAAACTGAAAACATATGTCCATACAACTTGTACACAAATAATTATAGCAGCTTTATTCGTAATGACCAAATACTGAAAATATCCAAATCTATCACAGGTGAATGAATTAAAAAATCATGGTGTGTGTATATATACACAATGGAATAATAACACTAAGAAGGAATGATATAAAACTATTGATATATGCAACAGCACAGATAGATCACAAAACGTGCTAAGTGAAAGATTCTAAACCAAGAAGAAGTACAGATTCGGTGGTTCCATTCATACAAAATTCTAGAAAATGCAGGCTGACCAATAGTGACAGAAACCAAATCAGTGGTTGCTTAGGGACAGTTGGGGAGAGTGAGGTATAAATTACAAAAGACACTTTTCAGAGAAACCTTTGGAGAAGATGTTCATTATGTTGATTGTGGTAATGGTTTCGCAGTATACGTATATCAAAACTCATCTAGTTGTACACTTTAAATATGTGTAACATTGTACTTCAAGTATACCTCAATAAAGCTCTAAAAAGAATATTTTCCCCTAACAAGGGAGGGGCCAGCTATGAGATAGGCGCTGAGGTTCTCTTATCTAATAATAAAACTAAGCCTGAGTGGTTGGCAATAAGGAGACGATTCCATGACTAATGTGTATTGGACTGATTATAATTTGTTGTGTTCTGGCTTCATTCTTTTCACCACTTATCCTCAGTTCTAAATATCTCTAGCATAAAACTATTTCTTGGTGTTTAGAGCCCTGAAGTCAGCCATAGATGATAGAGTATGAACTGATTACAGTAATTTGAACAAAAGGTAATTCAGCAGCTTTAGAAAGTGTAGAAACTGAAAAACACCCAGATATTCATCAATAGAAGGATAAATTGTGGTAAATTTATATAGAGAATTTTGTATAACTGAAAATTAATGAATTAGAGTTTATATTTATCAACATCAATAAATCTCAGAAGTATAGTGTGAAGTGAAAAAAGCAAGTTGCAAAAGTATACATACAGTTTGATAAGATTTACATTTTAAACATACCGGCGGTACTGTTTCTTATCTGTGGATATATACATACACACTAAAAGTATGAAAACCTGAAAGGGAATGACAGACTGTAAATGCAGAATAGATGTTACTCGGATAGGACTGGAATGGATTACAGAAAGAGCTTCTAATTGGATATTTAATTGGATATTTAATGTTTTCTTTCTTGGGTGGGTCGGGAAGTATATGTGTGTTTATTATGTTATCATGTATGAATTTCATAATTTAAAAAAGTGTTTTAAACCAAATATTGAAGAAATGGAGTGAATGATACAGGTGGTTGGACATAGAGCAAATGATTTTATTTATTCATCTACTTCCTTGTATATTTGTTTTCCACAGTTTCTATGTGCGCTACCAAGAAGGGAAGGCTATGAGTTCTTCGTAGGACAGTGGTCAAGTACTGAACTCCACTTCACTGCACTTATAAATATTCAGGTAGGTGGCTTGTGCTCATCCCCTAGAGAAAAGAGGCCTACCCTTTTATGGGACTATGAGCCCTTGATTAGGCTTGAAAATACAGCATTATCTACTAACTTCCAGCAGTACTTGCTGTGGCATTGATGAATTGTCATCCTTGGTATGTTGGGCTAGCTTTCTAAGCCCCATTCAAGTCCTAAAAATTGGAAAAGACTCCAAAACATGTTCTATGCCTACTGAGACCTCTATAACATTTACTGCATGCTCCTCACTTAACAAACATGAGTGAATTATAATGGTTACCTTTTTTAACTTTAAGGTAGGCTCCATGTCTTATGTGCATTTTATTAGTCAAATTAGCACTTTTCAAGGTGTTAGATGCATAGTTTCCATTCTATAGATGTTGTTTTGTTTACTTCCCTCATTCCTTTTTCTTTGTTTTTCCCAACTATTAGAGTAAGATGTTTGATCCAAAGCATTTGAAGCTTTTAAAATAAAAGTATTTTACATCAGACCATAACTAGGATTGACATTCTATATTTGGAGGCCAGATCTGGCAAAAAAACCAATCATGCATAATAATGGCTTTGAAGTTGGGGTAAAAGGAATACAACATAGAATGAAGGGGCAGCTTTCACTTTGTTATTTTATAATTCATCTAACAATCATTTATTTGGCATATACAAATATCCCATGAGATAGTTACTGTTATTATTTCTATTTACAGAGAAGAAAGTAGGCTCCGAGAAGTTAGTTCATACTGCTAGTATGTGGTAGAGCTGGGTTTGATTGACTCCAAGTTATTGACTCCAAAGTGTATGATCTTAATCATTATGCTATTGTGTTGGAAACTATGCTAAGACCTAGATACCTGAGACAAAGTTCTGGCCCTCATGAAGCTCATGTTCAAGTATAAGAAAAAGATCCAGAAACATAATTATGATCAAAATGATCATTATAGTAGAATCATAGAACTGAGCGGCTGAACTCTTAAGAATGCCCTAGCAGAATGCAATTAGCATTAATATGATGGCTAGGTGGAGGGCAAGGGGAGGAAGGGAGCAATTGGGGGGATCATTTTATGAACTATATGGATATCTAACCAATGTACTATATACTTGAAACTAATTTAAATAATTTTTTTAAAAAAAGAATACCCTAGCAATACTTAGGTATTAATAATCAAAAGGACTCTTGCTGAAATTTTAGAGATGAAACCCAGAGATCTTTTTTGAATGTATAGTTGTTTCCGCCTATACTATATGAAGGCATTAGCTTTGAACCCAGCCTGTCTTCCTAGTCTGGGTTGAGGTCTAATAACCACTGCCCTGTTCATTCTTCATGAAATAATGATGTTCTTACTCTTCTTTTACCCCTACTTCCCACCCAGATTTTATTTTAAAACTGCACATTACGAATCTGGCGCAAGTACAAACTCTCCAGCTGTTTGCTACAGCTTAAAAGAACTAAGTCTTCAGAGCCAGCCAAGGGGAGTAGATTTCAGCTGTGAAATGCGCTAGTCCATAAATGTGGCAATTACACAGGCATATTGCTTTCTTTAGAACTTGATTTGGTAGCTGCTTGTGCTGTTTTGTTTTTAAATATATGACCATGATGAAGGATTCACTGCCTACTGTAAACATTTTCTGGGAAAAGAGCCAAACCTTTTTCAATTGAAGACACAAATAACACTGTGCAAAATGTCACTTTCATTGTGCCTTGGCAGGCCTGACTATCTATTCCCCAACATACCAGTCCTTCGACTCACTAGCCACCCAAGGGGCTGATAAAGGCCAGAATTTCCTTTAGACTCTCTATTGCTCTGAAATTGCAGTTTTGTTGTGGTGGTACCTTACTGAGCCTTGATTAAGTGTTCCTCCTTACAGACCCGAGGGGAAGCTGCAGCCAGCCAGCTGATTTTATATCACTACCCTGAACTTAAGGAAGAAAAGGGCATCGTGCTGATGACAGCAGAAATGGATTCCACATTTCTTGTAAGTATCAACTTTTACCTCTTTGGATTTACCTGGTAGCCCTGAAGGTATTTATTCTTTGGCCAAAGTTCATGAGAGGTAAAATTCCAGAGACCTACATGTATTTGTTTATTACACAAAGTTGACAATTATTTTGTCTTAATCAAGCTCTTCCAAGTTGAAGTTACTTCAAGTCCTCAATCACTTATTCACAATTTTGAAGTCCAAACACTCTGTAAACACTGTCTGCACCTGTTACCTTTATAAAATCTAAAAATTCTGACTCCAAAACACATCTGGCCTAGGGCTTTCAGGTAAGAGACTGAACAAGTATGGGAAGAGATCAGTCTAGAAAACTTCTCAATCTTTTATCTTCCTCCACACTGTTCACATATACAAATGTATCATACACAGTGATTTCCTTTGCTCATTTTCCCATTCCCTGGGATAGAGCATCAACCATATGCCCATAAGTAGTGATATCCATTGTGTTTGTTCCCTCTAGTGCCAGGAGCAGTTTTATATTACTATACAACCACCCTGTTTGTCTACTCTTTAGTCATTTCGGTCTCATTTATCTGGCAGTGTTTAAGTTCAGGATTGTCCTCAAGAGACTGGCCAATTCCATGACAATTTTTTTCTTGAGATTCTTTATTACAACAACCACTTATTTTTCCTCTCTTACCAACTGCATATAGAGAAGAAAAAGTGATGATACTTGGCTAGTATCTCACAGTAGCAATAAGTCCCAAGTCTTGGACATAGTTGGGACTCTACTTCCCTGTCTATTATTCCTGAAGCTGTTGAGTGCTATTTTCCCTATTCTTCCTTCTACCCATCACACTCAACTGGAAGGTACCTAGAATATTATCCAGAAAAATTGAGTTGTCGTTAACTGAGATTTATAAGATTGCAGGAAGAAAAGTTTTGGAAGGAAGATTAGGAGCTCAGTTGTGGACTCATTAAATCTGAAATGCCTGTTAAATATCCAAGTCATAGGCAGTTAGATATAATGAGCCTGAAGTTCAGAGGAGAAGTCCAGGCTGGAGATATAAATATGGCAGTTGTCAGCATACAGATTGTTATTTAAAGCCATGAGACTGAGTGAAAACACTGAGGAAGTAAATGAAGATAAAAAAAAAGAGAAGAGGTCTAAGAACTAAACCCTGCAGAAATGAGGAAGCATCAGCAAAGACTTAAAAGGAACAAGTCAGGAGGAAAACTAAGATGGTAGAATGCGCTGGGAGCTAAGATAAAATGTTTCAAGGAATAAATCTCACTTGCTGGTAGGGAAAATGAAATGAGGACTGAGAATTTACTACATTTCACAACATGGAAGTCATGGAGGACCTTTATAAGGGAAGTTTCAAAGGAGTGGTAGGATAAAAGCATGATTAGAATGCATTTAAGAGAGGATGGGAAGAGAAATTAGAAAGAGTAAGCAGAAACAGATCTTTCAGGGGGTGTTTGTGTGAAGCAAAGAAGAAAATGAGGCATTAGAGGGGAAAAAGTGGGAAAAAGACTTTTTTGTTTTAAATATGGAAGAAATAACATATTTGTATGCAGATGGAAGATCTAGTAGAAAGGGAAATGATAATGTGGAGAAAGAAGAGAATTGTTGAAGTGATATTTTGGGGTGGGTAGTCCGGAAATGAGGGGTTGATCTTTGCCAGAAATATAACAATAGAAAAGCCAGGATATCATGGCACAGAGTTAAATGGATAGAGGCGGTAGTAACCTATAGTAGTTCTCTCCAGATTGCTTAGAGAAAAGTAAGGTTCTTAGCTGAGAGTGAGGATGAGAGAATAGGTGTTGGACATTTGAGTGGAAAAAAGAAAGTGTGAAATTGTTGTCTAGGACAGGAGTCAGCAAACTACAGCCTGTGGGCCAAATCTAATCCACTGTCTGCTTTTAGAAGACCCATGAGTTAAGATGTGTCCTATATCTTTAAATTATCAGGGGAAAAAAAAACAAAGAAGAATAATATTTTGTGACCTGTGAAAAGTATATGAAATTCAAATTTCAATGCCTGTAAGTAAAGTTTTATTGGAACACAGCCATGATTATTATTTACGTATTACTTATGGCTGCTTTAGCTTTGCAACAGAGTTGAGTAGTTGCAACAAAGAGCCTAAGATATTAACTGTCTATCACTTTGCAGAAAGTGTATGCCAACTCATGGTCTAGGAAAATGGAAGACAGAATGGCTGTGCGGGTACAAGCAGAGAAAGAGAGGGATGAGGGTTGGATTTAACTAGGGTATTGTTTAGCCACATGGTTTAACGAAGTAAGATAGGAATCAAGGAGTTAAAGGTAAATGCAAAGGAATGATTATAATTATTGACCATGGAATACAAACTGGATAAAGAGGGAAGTGAAAACATAAGGAAAGTGAGAGACAGAATTATGAGTCCTGGTGGAGTTAAAGGATTTTTGAAGTTGGGGGTGAGCTTAAAAAATAGGAAATAGTAGACGAAGTGTGGGTGTTTCAAATTGAGATTTGGAGGGGATATAGTTACCGATAATGACTTGGCTTAAGATTTGACATAGGCGTGAGTGACATAGAGATTGTATTTTATTTTCTGGTCTTCAGCAAAGCACAGCCTTTAACCATATTAAAAGTGGACTCTAGTGATCAGAGGAAGCCCTTTCTGCTTTGGCATTTTTACCACCTTGCTCTGGTAGTCTCAAACTGCTGCACAGTCCCCATCATCATTAAAATTTTCTTTCTGGCCTTATAACATTCAGTAGCACACCAGACAACATATATTTGCCTTGTATAAGTCCACTTGACTGTGAATTTCCAGTGTAGTACAATAAATCCTCATTTAACGTTGTCAATAGGTTCTTGGGACTGCAGCAAAACAATAGAAAGCAAAACCAGTTTTACCATAGGATAATTGATCTAAACAACAGTTAAGTTCCTACAGCATCTTCTCAACATTATAACAAATTGACATTGAATGAAGTGACATTATTCGAGGAGCTGCTATAGAGAACTAGACATATTAGAAGTTATTGTAGAGGTATGTGATTCAGAGATAGGAAACCTAAAATTGTAATATTAATATATGGTCTGCATACTCATGCATGAGTTTGTACTTTAGGCATAGTATTTCCAAATACAATAAAGCATATGAATAGAAATACATGGAAACTAGAGGTTTCTTAACTAATTAATTTTAATGCCAGAAATATGGTAGAATATTCAAAAGCCTTATCTCATTCCATGCCTCTTTCAATACATGATTACACTGGAATGCAGTAAGTGCTAGGATAGAGACATGCACAGCGTTCTTGGGGGTAGGGCTCCCTGACCCAGAAGGAGGAAGAAGACTTACTTCCTAGGATGACACCTAGACTGAATGTTCAAGGATGAGCCAGAGTTTAGCCAGCTAAAGAAAGGTGGGAGGGGGCGGAGAATGTTCCAGATGAAGCAAGTAACATAAGTAAATGCTAGGAGGCATAAAATAACTTGGGATATTATGCACAGTTAGGGTTTTGAACAAAAATAGTTGTTATTTCAAGACCATTAACCTATTTATTTCCTAAATACTTTTTAATTCTAGCCTGGTCAGTGTGATCATTTAGAAGACAGTTGCAATAGTCTCTGCAAAAGTTTGTAAAGACCCGAACAAGAGCAGTGGTAGTAGGAATGGAGGAGAGAGAATGACTCCAGAAATATGTAGGGGACAAAATGGGCAGGATTTGGTAAATTGATCATAGCTATGAAGATTGAAAGAGAAGGAGCAATCAGGTTTGTTAATATATCTCTTTATTGAGCAACACAGGGAGTTCATATGTTTATCTTCTTTGGTCTTGGAAAGGGAAGAGACTACTGCTTCACGTTGAGAGTTAAGAGAACAAAAGGTAGGGAGTAAATAAGAAGAGGGGTACTTTCCATAACCCTCGTTGAGAGATAGATGCACATAGCTCCCAGTGCCTTATCTCCCTACCCACCATACTAGTGGTCTTCAAACTAATGGGAGGAATCTTTCATCCAAACAATCTTATTATATATAACCCCAGGCTATAACAGCTGAAACAAAAATGAAGAGACCGGGGTTACCCCCACAGAGCCCCTAGGACTCTTCAGTTGAAATAGTATTATTCTAAAGTGAACCCAGCTGAGATTACCCCACCTCCACCATCCTAAGCCTCAAATAAAAGTTGATTGTCAGAGGCCCTACAGTTCAGGGCCTCAGAGAATGGTGATATCTGCATCAGATTATAACAATGCACTTGCTTTAGAAATGGTTTGCTCTTGAGGCAGGTTTAAATATAAGAAAGGTAAAATTAACAAAGTTATTGACCTTGATCGATCTTAATTATCTCCACCACCACCCCCACCCCTGCCAAAAAAAAAAAACAGTATCAGGAGTACTAGCCTGGGAGTACAGAGGTCTGGTCCTGGCTCTGCCACTTGCTAGCCACATGACCTTGGGCCCATCCCTAGACTTCATCTGCTTTGATTTCCTGGCTTATTAAATGAGAACTGAGTGATCTCTGAGGTCCCTTCCAGCTCTGAAATTCTATTAATTTGAAATAGCTAGCATTTTGGAAAAAGGCTTTTGATTGAAGATCTAGTCTCAGAGATTAGTGCCTGCTTGTGAGAAAATGACCTGAAAGCCCCACAGGAGGGAACAGAGATAAAGCGGCCCAGGGTATTTATAAACCCGTCTTCATCATTCTGTAGCTAGACATAGCACACTTTTGACAGTCAGTTTTAGTGGGAATTTTCCATTATCTTTTAGGGTTGAGTTTTGACCATATGAACACAGTGATGGTGAATAAGTGCCTCTGACTAGAACTGAGGAATGTATAGGAAGCAAAAAAGAGTTCTTTGAAGTAAGTCTTTTGTAAGGTTTCAAGAGTGTAGCCTATGTCCTGACTTCACCTCTGTTACATAGAGTGGTCTAGTCACCATTTCCCAACTTCTGAGCTTTAGAGAAGGTGGCCCCTTCTCTTCCCTGGGGCTCTGCTGGTGGATTATAAATGGCTGCATAGCAAATTACTCCAAAACTTAGTAGCTTAAAGCAACAAACATTTATTACCTCATAGTTTTTGTGGGTCAGGAATTCAGGAGCAGCATAGCTAGGTGGTTCTGGCTCAGTCTCATAAAGTTGCTGTCAAGACATTGGTTAGGACTACAGCCATCTGAAGGTTAATTGGACTGGAGGATCCATCTCTGACCCTACTCACATGGCTGTTGGTAGGAGGCCTCATTTCCTTGCCACAGCGGCTTCTCTGTAGGGCTACTTGAATGTCCTCATGACATGGCAACTGACTTTCTGAGAGAAGAGATTCCATCAAGATAGCAAGACAAGAGCTACAATGTCTTTTCTGACTTTATAGCAAAAGTCATTCTCCATCATTCCACCTACTCCATTTGTTAAAGCAAGTCGGTAGGTACAGCCTACACTCAAGGAAAGGGAAACTAGCCTCCATCAAAGGGAGGAGTGCCATAGAATTTGTGGACAAATTAAAAAACTATCACAGCTGGCTTTGGCACTAGTTTTCGAACCAAGGTGGTATCAGGAACAGGTTTTATTCGACTATATCTGGTTAGTTAAGAACGTAAAGCTGGGTAACTATTGCTCTCCACACCACCCCGTCCTGAAATATGCTTAATGGTTATAAAGGAACTGAATAAAGAGGGAAATTTTGAGCATATGCATTAATTTTCAGCAAACATTCACCAAATGTCACTGTGCAGGGATGTAAAACAAGCACATACTTTGAGGAATTCATACTAGGGAAGAAAGACAAAAAAGAAAAATGGGAAAAAGGATAAATACAAAACAATATCATAAATACTGTGATAGAGGTAAGCATGGGGCAATTTGGGTACACAGAAGAGGCACCTAACTAAGACTTGGGAGTTCTGGGAGTCAGAGAAGCTTTCTAAGCAGTGACTCCTGGGTAAGAGCCCCTACCTGCCACAGGACTAGACACAGAGCTTTGTGGCCCTCTGTAAGGAGGGACCTCACTGTTCTTTTTACCTTACAGAGCGTTGCTGAGGCACAGTGCATTGCCAACCAAGTTCAGCTCTTCTATGCCACTGATCGGAAGGAGACTTATGAGTTAGTGGAGACCTTTAACTTCAGACCAAATGAGTTCAAATATATGTCTGTCATCGCCGAATTGGAACAAAGTGGACTTGGAGTGGAACTGAAATGTGCCCAGAAACATGATAAGACTTAGAGCTATAAGGGTTGGCTCTTTATAGAGCCTAATCAACCCTGGATCATCTAGAGCTCACTCACTCCCTTAAACTCTCAGGAGGGCAACATCTGTAATGAGCAGCCCCTCATGAGTTACCCTGTGTGCTTATACAAGAGGTAATCATGGAGGTGAGCCCTATTACTTGATATTCAGGAACGAAGGTACCCAAACATTCTAATTATTATCTCTTAGCATACTTGAGGTTTCCTTTTTAAGTGTTTGAGATCATAACCAGAGATAGCCAAGGATCCCCAGGAGGGTTGACTTGATTTTACACAATGTAATGGTTTGTTAAAAGTGCATTTGCATTCTGGCCAATTTGACCACACAGCTCCCAAATGATTAGTTCCTCATCTTTATAAATTTGTGACAGGATAATAAGGTTGAAGACCTGCTATAGTTAGATTTGGGCTTTACATACCCTTCCCCTGTGCCAGTTGGCTGGCCAAAGACATAACCCAAATATCTTGATTAGACTCTACAACAACCAAATATTGCAGTCAGGGTTAAGACTCCATCTAGATGCCCCCCAGAGTTGCCTTTAGTGTAGCTGGTTTGAACTATCAGTAGATTTCGGGTATAGTTAAACCCACAGGTACAGTGCCCACATATTTTAAAATTGTTCGTGGCACCTCTCTTCTAACTCTGCCTTTTAGAAGCTGTGTATTTGGAGGGAGTGAATCATTGCAGTGTAAATAAATCAACTTTTTTTGTAAGGAGAGGATCAATTTAGATATGCATGTTTTTGTATGTATGTATATATATTTTTAAATAATTCTTTAGTCGTGCCAGTATTATATGAAAAAGTAGGTGGAAGAAAATGTTCCCGGATTAGATATGGAGAAAATATAGCAATAAAATAAAGTCTGGCTTATAATATTCGTTACACTAAACAGTTACATCTAAGCTGTGTGCTGTTCGTAGTGTCAGTGCTATAGGCTGATTTGATCAAAACTCTCCTTTGGACTCAGTAGTTGCTTGAAACACCAAAAATAAGAAAGGAGCTCTCCAGCACTGGAAAAGTCACATTTGTTTGATAGTGTCACTGTTGTGGCTCCAAGCTCAGTGACAAAAGAGGGTGGTGGTTACATACCAGCCTTCTGAACCTGAGGTACCATATTTACCCACCCCACCCCTGCTCATTATTGTTGTCAGCTGCCTTTGTGATGCCTTTTCTTGCTCTAACATGTTCCACTTTGTGTGCTGCTCCTGCCTGAGATCTGCTTGTATGACACTGAATATGGTGAATGGGACTGTAATTAGTAGTTGCAGTTTGTGTGTGTTTTCTTCATTACGGGTTGGGCCTGTCTCCAAGCTCTTTAAATGAGATGAACTTCCCATTATTTTCTGAGCTATGTCTATTTTGTACTACTGAGTCTGTGTGTAGAAAGAAAGAGAGTGTTTAACCTTCTCTAAAAGTTGAGCTGTTTCCTAATGCAAATTCTGTACCTGCCTTTGGTTTTTAACAGTTCATTTTTTGAGAAACTTGAGTCTGAATATTTTGAGTCCCAGGAATCTTAAGCATCGGATGGAGTTGCTTACATGGGTATCCAGTTATGTTTGCTTTTCCCCCAAGATGGATCCAGTTCTTAGCCAAAGTACATTTCATAACATCTCTACCAGAAGGTGAGAAAATGATAGGAAAAGATGGCTGCTCATTTTATCGTTCCTACCAGCTTTGCCCTGAATCCCCACTTGCCAAAGAAGGATGTATTCATGGACAGTTACATTGCATGTGAGACATGATCAAAGCACCATTCTTTATATTTACCTAGCAAGATCTGGCAAAGAACTAAAAGAAAAATTGTAACATGAATCAGTAAATTTGTCCCCATGGTATTCTAAAAAGTAGAAAGGTTTTAGAGTTAAATAAATCTGGGTTCAGATGTCAGTGTTGTGATTCATTAGCTCTATAATATTGAACAAATTAAACTTCATCTGTAAAATGGGGATAATAGTATCTACCTCATAGGATTATTGTGAGAAATTAACATACATAGACTACAATAGAGCTTAATAATGCCAATTCCTTTCTTCTCTACTTCCCCTGCCTCTCACCAACACAAATTACCATTACAGATGTACAGATCGTTCTTTATTCCAGTTGAAAGAGCAAACTTTATCTTACAAGTTCTCAAACTTTAAGTTGCAGTAGAATCAAAATGCAGATTCCCAAGTCCCAAACCTCAACTTGCTGAATCATAATCTTTGCAGAAAGTGCTGGGAATCTGCATTTCAATATGTGCTCCAGATAATTCAGATGTAGGTTATTCACCAGCCACACTTTGAGAACCATTGCCTTATGTGTTCTTCACAAAAAACATCCATTAGCCAGATTTCCCTTTCCTGTGGACATTAACCATAGAATTGGACTGCTCTGCCCTTTGCCTCCCCTAGTGGTCCCCTTTGCATACTCTACATTGTATTTATTTATTCCCTACTAGACTGTGAGCTCCTTGAGGGCCAGGGTTTATCTCCATTCCCAGTGCCAAGGACATGGCCTGAAACATAGAAGATACTCAGTTGTTTGTTGAATAAATAAACGATGAAACATAGAAGATACTGAAACATAGAAGATACTCAGTTGTTTGTTGAATAAATAAACGATGTGGATTTCAGCCAAAACATTATCTTGTGTGTATGCCTATATTTAAATACTCTGAATTTAAGAGAATCTCTTAACACACACAGATCAAGAACTTACTGAGTAGGAATATTTGTAAACCAAGATATCAAGTTAAACACAGAGTCTCTATCTCACCAATCTGCTGGCGTTAGCTTGGTGGGCTGTCTGCTCAGTGTAATTCAGTAGTCGCTCACAGAGCACCTACTCTGCCACCACCATGTTAGGTGCTGACAAAGGAAGATGAGTGGGATGGATGATTGGGCGATCCTTGCTCTCAAGCTTTGTTCTAGCCACTGACTTTGTCTCTCTGGCCTCTGAGTCTGTGCCTCATATCTAGTACCTGGTCATAGTTTGCCTTGTCTTGTTCTCAGAATGCTTATGCAGCTTCTTTAACCAGTTTAGGAGCAGGAGCCACACGTTCTGTTTTTTGCAGTCTCTGCAATACTGACCTTTTGTTCAGTCTTGGAGAAGAGGTACAAATGCCCACTTCCTCAATCACTTGATTTAGCACTGATTCATCATTCATTAATATTCATTGGGCACCTATTATATGCTAAGCACAGTGATAGAAAACCAGAGAATACAGCAATGAACAGGACAAATAAGGCCCCTATTCTGATGGAGCTTATATGCTTGTGGAGAAGACAAATGAATAAACCAGTAAGATGATTTCAAATGCCAGTAGTGCTATGAAAATTTTTAAAAATGTGATAGAATGGTAAGTGGAGGCAATAACTTAATGGTCAGGAGAGCTATCTCTACAGAGGTGACAGCTGATACTTGAGTGTAGGAAAATTACAAGAGAACACTAAGTACTGAGGGCTTGAAGCAGGGCCAAGCTCAGCATGCTTGTTTCTGGGCCCGGATTTAAATGTTCAGTCCTTGCCCTTGAGAAGCTCACAGTTCAGCAAGTGAGACACTGACATGAATAATTACAATATGAGACAAACTGACCAGTGCCATCTCAGAAGAGGAGCAAGAAGGGTTAAAGAACACTGCTGGGTACTATAGGGGATGCAAATCTTGCCAGACCTAGGTACCCTTGTGAAGCACTTAGGGCTTCATAGGGAGTAACAGGTAGAAAGTATTAAAGTCTCAATATGTGTTCCATGCAAGGAGGTCCTGTGAGTTCAGAGCTGGCCTCACAACATATACCTGTTAACAATAACCTCTAACATTTATTACTGGGGCTTACCATGTACCGGGCACTGCGCTAAGGCCTTTACATGCATTATTTCAATACTCCCGACAACCCTGTGAGGTCGGCAGAAAACTGCTGGTTGATGATGTGCTACTGCTCTCCTTTTGCCTACTGTCTTCCCCGACCTCCAGCTCAAAAAAGAGGGCAGCCTCTCAATTACCCCTAATCCCAGCTCCAGCAGCCAGCTCAGGTCCTTAAGAAGTCACAGGTGGCTCCTAAACCAGCCCTTGCTCTGAGAAACACATGGTGTCAATTTTCCAAATGCTGTCAACTAAAGAACAAAATGCACTCATTATACATTTCTGACTCCAAATTTTATTTCAAAACACATTGTTTTCTAATTAAAAAGGACGTTTTTGTGCTCTGTTTTATGCTGTATGGAGCACTTTGGTCCTGGCAATTCTAATGTAGCAAGTTGGTGGCAGCATTTTTATCCCTGTTCTGCTTTATAAAGAAGAGACTTGGTGCACAAAAAGGGACAAGATACTTGAAGATTGCTGCCTGCATCAGGAGCCACTGCAGGATAAGAGGTGACAGTCCATTCTCCAGACTTAATAGTGTCATTCGTAATGTCCACTGAGCAGGCCCATGCCTCACATTCACAGGGCTACTTCTAAGCTGTTCAGACCTCCGGAACTGGAAGAGTTACAAGAAAAATTGGTTCAAACTCATTATGAATCATCCCAGGCTCCCCAGAGTTTTCAGAAGAAAGTCCCTTTAAATCAGCTCACTAGAGCTTCAGGATCTGGTGACTTCTCCAAGTTCATGTCTTGCTAGGTCCCCGCCCACTCCCTTAGCTCCTCCAGTCATTCTGGATGACTGGCAGTTCCCTGAATGCACTGTGTTCTTCTTACCTCTGTTCTGATCTTTTTAAATACTTTGTGCCTACCTCAAATGTCCATATCTCCTTCATCAAATTAATTTTGTCTTTCAAAACTCCACTAAAACATCTCTACAAGAGCCTTCCTTGACACCTACCCCCTTCTATGCTGTCCCCGCCCTATCATGTGCTCCTCTGTGCTTCCTTGGCATTTTGTGTCCTCCCCCATAGACTAGACACTCCTTGGAGACAGGGATCATATCTTACTAGACATTATATTCCCAATATCCAGTATGAAACCTGACACCAAGAGATAAGATACTGGTGAATGTTGAATAAATTCCGCTTGGATGATTGCTCAACTGAGACCATCTGTGTCTATGAGCATCCCTTGCACAAAGAGTTTTAGCACTAGTGAACACATTGTGATTATGTCCCAGCCCCAAGCAGTGGCTATTTTACTTGCTCTTATTTCAGAGGCCACATGTGGAAAACAAAGCCCAGGGGCCATCAGAGGGGACAGCCAGGTTTATAAGCAAAAAGAACTGGGAGAATGAACAAACGGAGTGAGACAATTATTTTAAAGCACCAGCCTGCTGCGTCCAAGCTTCTGTTTTGACTTTCCAGGTCTCAACATTAAAAAGGACCTTAGAGTCTGTCCAGTCTCTAGTTTTCAACTGTGCTTCAAGAATTCCTAACAGTTCCTTAGAGGAGGGGACTCTAGGAGCCTGGTCCTTACCCCCCCCAACTCAACCAGAGAAGCAGTGTTTCATTTACTGGGCTTCCCATAAGCTGTCATTTGAAGAAACAGTTTCTAAGAAAGAATGAAAAAAGCCCTGATCTAGTTTAACCTCCCACCCATCACAGCAGCCCTCTCTTCAGCACCCCCAAGCCATCGGGCAATTGTTTGGAAACTTCCAGGGCCTGGGGGCTGTCCACCCTGTTAACTGACCTGCACCAAGACAGCTTTGAGTGACAGCAAGTTCTTCCCCACCCTGCACTGAAATCTGCCACCTCTCCCCTCACTGGGCTTTACTCTGCTCACCACAGGTGGAGCTTCCCATAGAAGTCTGTTCACTTTTCTCCCTCACAGCCTCTTCTGCTGATGTGTGAAGATAGTTCTCAAGTTGTGTTGGTGTCTTTTGAGCAGATTAAACAACCTTCTGTCTCCTTTTATGACCTAAAACCCCAGCTTCTGCTCCTGGACAAGTTAACTGACCAGGGCCTACCTCACTGTTGGGGCCTGAAATGGAGCCTAAGATAGCTTGTGGGTGACCAGAGTGTATTTAGAATGGCAGTCCTTTGGGAGTTGGCATGGCCCACCCAGCAGTCCTCTCCCTACACTGCCACTCACCAAGGTCACCTTACTGACTCCTCCACCTTGCCCTTTCCTCACTCATCCCCACTCCTACCTCAGCTGTCTTTGCATGATCTGCTGTCTAACATGGCTTTTCCTACCTGGAATTCTTGACTTTTGGGCCTCTGTACATATATGTACTTCATTTCATCAGACTGGTTTTAACCTAGTATTCCCATCATATCTTGACTTGAATCTTGACTCTCTTGCCCAGAACTGTGTCCCTCCCAACAGATGTGATACTGCTCTTGGTCCTCTTCTCCATCTGCCATGGCAGTAATCAGAGGTAGGTGGTATTCCCTCAAGCATTTCACTTACTATCGCCTCCCTCCAAAAAAAATCTTTGCCTTGGTTTGAAACATCGCTACTGGGTCATGTTGGACTTTTGGTCCAATGCGTGTGATCCCCAGATCATTTTTGTTATTATTATTGTTTCTGCGTTCATAATATGACATGAACCTTACCTTGCATTTTTATTTCTTCAACCCACATTTATTATCCCATTTTGCCCTTGTCTCTGGTCAGGTGGGAAGTAGCTGACAGATTTTATATTTTAGCACTGATTTTGCAGGGGAAGGGAGGGAGCAGAGAGGTGTATTGCTGAGCCTCACTTGGTACAGACTCTCAACAAACTCTCTGAGATGTGTGCTTCCACCACCTTAGTTTCTTCTATTTAATATTTTCCAACAATACTGTGGGAATAACATCACTTCCATTTTACAAAGGAGGATACTGAGGAAACAGCATTGTAGATGCCAAGAGTAAGGTCTAAATTAGAATCCCAGCTCTGCCTTTGGGCAAGTTACTCAGTCTCTCTGAGCATTTATGTTCTCATTTGTAAATAGAAAAATAATAGTCCTATCTCAAAAGTTAAGAAAAGGATTAAGTGGTATAGTTTATGTAGAATGTTTAGCACTATGTTTCACACATGATAAAAGCACAAAACAGTACTGCTAGATTAATTACTTTTTTAAGGCACAGTCCTTCAAGAGTAGATGGAACATTCTGCTTTTGGAAAATAGATCTACTTCTGGAACATAGACTTTCTACTTCTAGAATGCAAGTTTCTATTGGGCTCTTTTTCCTGCACTACGTTACCATTTTCTGAAATTCTTTACCAAGAACTAAAAGAGGTTTGAGCAATAGTCATCATACCAGAGAGTTTGGCACTAGGCATTTGGGAATCTCAAGACTAGATTCTCAGACTGGTGTGTAGGAGCAAAGAGTGGAAGGCTGGATTAAGCCCAGACCGGAGCATGGAGTGAGCACTCTCTCTCACAGATTGGAGTGAGCACTCTCTCTCACCCTGGACAAGGGGAGGGAGGAGTGAGGGCAGGCAACTAGGTAGAACCATAGCTTGGGAGCTGACATCAGGAGCCAGGTGACACTTGGAGTTTCAAGCCAAGGTGCAGTTCTACCTGATTATTTGTGGATGGCTTATCTGAGACCAAGGTACTCCTGATTACAGACCTCTGCTTATTTAATTCTTTGTTAACTCATTAAACATAACAGTTATAGCTTAGAAAGACTAAAGCCTATAATTTTTCCACCAGGTTGGACATCAGAAGCACCTGAAGAGCTTGTCAAAGATGTCAATTCTTGGGCCCCAACACTGAAATGTGGGTT